CGGTAGCCCATGGCAATCCACTGCCGCAGGGGCTGCAGCCTGTGCCATCGTGGGCGACTCACGGGCAGCCCAGCTTCAGGTCAAGCTGTTGTTCAGCATCTTAGCTGTAGAGGGCAGTGTCACTGGCCCTCATATGTGGGATCTGAACCGGGGCCCTCTGGCATCCCAAGCCAGTTCTTAACCATCGTGCCACTCGGCTGGCCCCTGATCTTTAAAAAGTGATCATTGTGTGATGTTTAAAAGTAACTTTTTCATTTTAATCCTATGATATATTATTTGGGTAATATCAAATAGCCATGTTGAGAGCTAAAGCTTCTTATGTTTGTGAGGTATGAATATTGCAAAACCATTCTGTTTTTAAAATTTATTTTCTGGTTTGTCATTTCTGAGAATTCCCAGGTCCTCTGCAGTGCTGCAGTAACTGTGTAGCGTGAATTGATTGTCCTCCTTGAAAGCTTTGCTATTTCTCTTCTCTTTTTTTGCTCTGAAGCTTTTGTTTAGGGAGGAGAGCTGATAACTCAAGTTAAAGTTTAATGTCATGTAGTATGTCCAAATGTAAATATAAAGCAGCTATATTTAATGGGTAAGTTACAGTTCTCACACTTTTACTAATATATTTAGTAATATATTTAGTTTAAGGAGTAAAGGAGTAATTTTTGTTAATGTTTATCTTATACAAGTGATTTTATTTATAAGCATTTCTTCAAACAGAATATTCTCATTATAGAAAATTTGAAACATATACAGAAGTATAGGGAAGATATTATGTACCTTCTTGTTCTCATCACTTAGCTTAAATAATTAGCAACTCATGTCAATTTTGTTTCATCTCTACTCCCTTCTCCCAATTATTTTGAAATAAATCTGAAATATTGTATCATTTTAGATATACTGATAAAGAGTCTCTCCTTGATCAGACTTTAGTCAGGCTCCTCTGAATTCCCTTCCCAACTAGGTGTTTCACCTTTGGACTTATTTTTGTATTGCTCAATTTTGGCAAGCATCTTGTTGAGTTGGTTTAGCCTGAACCCCCTGCCCCCCTCCTCACCTCCATCATCCTGCTGGTGATGTTTCATTGTCTGTCACCTGGGCCTGCCTTTAGCAAGAATCCTGTTAGGTCTGTTTAGCTAGAATCTCCCCTTACCCCAGATGTTTCCTCTTAGTCATCTTTCATTGACCAACACTCCCCTATCCCCTCCTTATATAAATTCCCACCTCCTGGTATAAGGAATTGAGCCCAGTTCTATATTGAGGTCTCTTTCCCCTATTGCAGTAGTCTTGAATAAAATCTGTTTTACCATTTTTAATTGCTATCCACCTCTGGTTTTTCTTTGACTATATATAGATCTCATTTTGTATCTCTAAAAGATAAGAATTCTTTTAAAGCCATTATCACATCTAAAGTATGAATAATTCTTTAAAATCAAATATCTTCTTTCACATTTACCCAATTGTTTCATAAAAAATTATACATTGAAATTGATATATCTTTTAACCTTTTTTATTTTGTTTTTAATTCTATACCCCCCCCCCCTTTCCTTTTTTATCTTACTATTTATTTGTTGAAGAAATCAAGTCATTTGCTTCCTAATTTGGGTTTTCTTGGTTGTGTTCCTGTGCTGTAGTTTAGCATGTTTCTTTGTTTTCTGTATTTCCTGTAAATTGGTAGTTATGTTACTGTAGACTCGAAGGGTCCTCTTGCCTTCACGCATCCAAGCCAAAACCGACACAAACAGGAGTTTGCAGCAAAGAAAGTCAGGGTTTATTTAAGGAGTTGGCACTAAGCCCGGAGACACATGTGAGCTAATGCTCTCCAAAACCTGGCTCCCCAATGGCTTCTAGCAGCTAGGTTATATAAGGGAAAAATCATTAACCATGGTTACTATGGGAGTTGGGGCCTGGGGGCTCTACTGGTTGGTCGGAGCTAAGGCAGGGAGCAACTGATTATGGCTCCAGTCCTGGTGTCAGTCATGACATTGTTCTCTTCAGTTCCCAGGGGATGTGGTCCCTGGGCCCTTCTGCTTTCCTGAGTCTGAAGCTGAAAGTAACTGAGGCCAAGGTGTTATCTTTGTTTGACTAAAACCTTATTCCAGTTTGTGGTTTGGTTATTGTATCTTGGTCATGGTTCATAGACCTGAAGCTTTATTCTTAAGTGAAAATGGTGTTGACCAGAACCTGATGTCCTAAAGGCTTAATGATTAAAAGGAGCGGATGTACAGTATATGTACAGGTGGGAGGATCCGGGGAAAGAATGCAAGTGAGTTATAGGTTCTGCCAAAGCGAGCTTGGATTAAAGCAGAATGCATGCTAACAAAATGAAGTTCATGTGTGGTCACAGCTCTAAAGGCAAAAAACATTTTTTAAGTACTTCTAATGTAGATTTCTTGGCTCGTATGTGTTAGGAAGGGCTTAAAATTTGAACATTATAATACTGCAGTCATATATTACATATTGTTATACATGTATAGCTATATAATTATAATACTGTAGTCATCTAGAGTCATCTGGTGTGCCTTCCTATAAAATGCCTCAGAGAGGTTGTGATTTATCCAGAATCCCTTATGGAGTTGAGGTTAGAATCTCCTAGGGTGCATTTCAAAGCAGAAACATCTTTCCCTTCTGAATCTTAAATTCTCCTTTTGTGCTGCCACTCGAGTGTTTTTGTTCTTCAGCGGTTCAGCCCCCTGAGCAGCCCCCTCCTCCCCCTCCCCCCAGCTGTCCCTAGGAATTCTTGAATTTGTCTTCTCATTCTACCTCAGCCCCCTTCTGATTGCCATTCAATTGGTAATCTGGTAATACCTAATCTGTGTCAAAGTCCTCTTTGCCACACCTTCCAAGTGTAATTGGAAAAGCACTTTAGCCTGAGCAGTAATTCTTTTAAGAGAAACTGGCAGCCTTGGACCCCATAACCATGAGAGATTTGTTTATCTTATAAATTTTTTAAAATTTCAGATTTATTGTTACAAAAGTAATATATTTATTTAAAAATGAAATATGTAATATATTTGTTAAAAAATTAAAACATTGTAGAACTATATAAAGTAAAAACTAAATGTTTCATTGTCCTCCCCACTTTGCCTCATTCCTTTCTCAGTGATAACAATTGTTGAGTTTGGTGTGTGTCATTCTAAACTCTGTAAAAATATGTACAATTTATATGTTGTATATACATGCACATATATACAAAATTTTTAGCTAAAAATAATTCAAAAGTTTTTACTAATGATACAAAACTTGTACTTATGCAACATTTTCAATATATTTTATAGGGAAGTTACTCTTACCCCCAGTTAGTGCTGGCTAGCTATCATTTTCAATTTTCCTTTATGACCAAGTTGTAAATCAGGAAAAACAAGTTAAGAGTCTGCAAATGTGTACCAGGAAAACTTTTACATAGATTTTCATTTTATATAAAGGCATGAAAGAATGTAAATAGTATCATAAAAGCTAAATTATGAAAGCCATATAGCATATATACTTAAAAAGCCTTACAATAGTAAAATTTACATATCAAAGGATCACAAAAGGCCAAATTTATATTAGTTAATTTGTTAAAGTTAGCTCTTGGTCAAAGCTTTACTTGTTTAAAAAAATGATTTCTAAGAAAATTTGAAAAATACAAAAAACAGAAAAAAATTTTTTCATAAATGTTAATAGCCAGAATCATAATTAGAATATTCCTATGGCAGTAATTCTAGTCTACATTTTTTTCCTAAAACCCTTTTCCCCCAAATCCCACATGGAATTTTCTAAGATCTGTCTGTCTGAGGTTCAAACTTTTTGAAATATAAAACTTTACTCCACACCCAATTAAAAAAAATCCAAAATAACTAAAATGTACTGTACAAATTTAATAGAATTTATTTTCTCTCATTTTTCATTACCCGCAATTTTTATATAAATGCCTCAAATTTGAGTGGATCTTAGATGTTGGCTCATTCAATACTTTGGAAAATAAATTTTACAGAACCCCTGAGTCTTAATGGAATTGCTTCTGATGAATAGCACATTTTTATTTAGTGGCACCACAACAATATTGCTATTTCAGTAGGAGAACCTCCAAATCTAGAGGAAGCACTTCAGGGGTAGCTGTAAAAATTATGAGCATCAGCTTTTTTGAATGACAGTGTGAAACAAAAATCTGCTTTATTTCTGAGTTTCATAAAAATTTTAACAAATTTCATAAAAAATTTTTAAAAAAGACAATTGGAGTACCTTTTGAAACGTTTTACTAAAAGCCTTTTTTTAGAGCACAAAATATTTGTGAGGGAGGAGAAGTAGGAAGACAGGAGAGAGAGGAAAATCTCCCACCTAGTTCATCTCTTTTTGCATTGTTTCAGAAACAATAGCTAAGTTACTTAGTATGTTGATAAGTTTTCTTCTCAAAAGCTAGAATGCCTTACTAGCTAGTAACTTGAAAGAAGGAAATAAGAGGCTGCTGAAGGGGATGAGTGAGATAAAATGCCACTCAACTGTTCAATTGCTGAATTTTTTGGTCCCACTATAGAAGTCTGAAGTACATTTTAAATAATTAAGAAGAGGCTTAAAACCAAGTCTCTTGAAGCCTTTGATGTGTTCTAGTTCTTTATGATGCACATGACATGACTATATAAAAATTAGTCCATTTATATTATAAAAATCACACAACCTTATTAAAGTGTTGCTCCCATTTTTCTACATTAGAAATGAAAAGGGGCATTGTCTACATCCAGAATTTCCTTTTCATGTCTCTATATTTAAATACTTTGTTCCCTATCTTAAAATAAAAAAGAAATAATGTTTCTATTGTACTAGAGTTGCCACTGGTACTGTAAGAAGCTATACTGTGCGTGCTTTAAAATTCTCAAACCAGTTTTGTTTGCTATGCTTGGAGCTTAGTCATCATCATACGTAGCAGAACCTGATTAAGGAGGCTGTTCCGCCTCTGAGCCTCGCTAGATTGTAGCCACTAGCAACCCGGCTGCAATAATTTCCCTTTGATGACATCATCCACTGTGGAAGAGCCCGGTTGCTTCAGCGAGTCGAACTACTTACAGTTCTAACCCTCGTCAAATATGGCATCTCCCTTGCCTCCTGCAGCAGGGATGGAAGAAACGCCACTGTCTTTTTAAGCTAGCAAGCATTTCTTTTTCTTTTTCTTTTTAACAATTCTAATCATGGATGCTTCTTCTGATCCCTATTTGCCTTATGACGGGGGAGGAGACTATATTCCCCTGAGGGAATTACATAAAAGAGGTAATACCATCCCCTTGCTGTGAATCCTCTGTTGGTATGTTTTGCATGCGGCTGGGCGGCTCTCTAATTGAAACAGGTTCTCGGTGTGCTCTAAACGCTACAGTATGTTGTTTGGTTTGCCTGGGCTGTTAGTAAGGGGCAAATGCGACCTTCGGAATGTTCTGTAGTCATCGCTGATTGTTTCTTCCAGCAGATTAGTACTGCTTCAGATCACATCGGACTCCGACTCCATCTTCTGTGTGAAACCCTCTTTCTATTTCACTGCGAAAATGAATTAATCCGCTTTTACATCTAACTAAAGTCGTGTTCGTTGGCATCTAAAAAGTAATGTTTTTCTTCGTTCGGAAAACTTACCTTTCTTTTCATTTACACAGAGGAATCAAGCGTGTGTATTTCAGCTGCTGCCAGTTACCACGTAGCTTTCACACCACAAAGTAAATTTATAGTAAAAGCTCTACCTACATTTTAGAAACCTGAAATGGCAATAAAGATGAACACATTTTTATATTTTTCATTTAATACGCATTTCAATTAAGATTAGCTACATTGTCTTACACAGATATGTTGAAAAAAATTGTTATGATAAAAATATTTAGGGTAATTTTTACACATCAAAAAAAATAATAGTCAATTTTTGTTTGTAAAAACCAGAAAAGTACCTAGCATTCATATAATATTTTGGCAGATACTGTCAGGGTCTTCTTAAAATTGATTACATGTTAATTAAACTGCCTTTTTTTTTTTTTTCTTAAACTCATTATTCCAAAAATAGACTGAATTGTTCTAGAAAAAAAATTGAACCTGAAGAAAAATCTCTTAACTACATGACTACATTTATGAGCTACATTAGTTTGAATTACTGCATGGTATTACAAACTCATTTTTATGGTTTAGCACAAACTTTTATATGAAGTAAATAAGGAAGTTATAATTTTCCTGAGCATATTTAGCCTGTTTTATTTAAAGTATAGTTTGTATTCTGGTAACACTTTTTTTTTAGTGTTAATTTCCATTAGAATTAAAAAGCTAATATAGTCAGCAAGTATTTATTGGTTTTATTGTATCTACTAGACACTAGTTTAGGCTCTGAACAATTACAACATTATATATCCTGTAGTATTCTGTTGTTAGTAGAAGCTTGCTTTTCAGATTTTGAGGAAAATTGCATGAAGATCATGTTACATACATAGTATTGTGTTTCTCTTACAGAGTTGCCCTCTTAATAAAATATATATACATAATTTTATATATATATACATAAATTTATATATATATAAATAAATATATATAAAAATATATATATATAATTTTAGAACATTTGGGGAAATACGTAAAAGTATAAAGAAGAAAATAAAAATTTCTCATAAACTTACCACCCAGAGATGTTGGTATTTTTTATTCCCTAGTTCTTAATGTGTGTTTTTTTATTTTGTTTTTTTTTTAGCTGAGCCATCCTTCCATTTAATGTGTTTTTAAACTCTGCTTTTTCCTGTGTTCCCATCATCCCTTTGCTAGTAAGAGTTTCTTTAAACAGGAAGCAACACGGATGAATGGTGACTGTTTCAAATGTCACAGTATTTGCTAATCAGTAATTAAACTGTAAAACAAGACAAACTGTTTCTTTTTGTTTTTTTCTTCTTTTTTCCTGAGCTATTTACAGCATCTGTTTGTTGACAATAATAAACCAGAAGACCTTGGCTTGGGAAATTTAAATTCTCAGTGTTAAGCTTGACAATTTTCAAAAGAAGTTGTGTATGGACTCCTTCTCTTTATAAGATATGCACATAGTAAGAAATAAGCCAGTGCTTATGTGACAGTAGGCATGGTTACTGATAAGGTTATTACTAATATATAAGTTTTTTTTGTTTCTATGTTTTCATAAATAATTCTTTAGGAATCTTGTTTAAGGTCTAAATCAGTCTTATTCTTAGCAGTTCCAATAGGTTCCTTGTCCCTGGATGAGACTTACTCAATTAATATAAGCCAATGTCATTTGAAAGTAAATTGTGTCTTTGTAGTGCTGATGAGTCAGTTATTAGGCTTATTTGACTCTACTGTAGTTTCCTAGTATCTGTGGGTAAGAGGCTGTTTTCTATCATTTATAACCTATTGTATCCATGCATCAGCAAAAGGAACTGGAGATAAGCAGGTAACATAAATCAAGAAAACTGAATCAGCTTCCCTGCGAGGACAAAATTACAATAACTAGAAGTATCTCTTTAGACTGATACACGGTAAAGAGGCTGATAATTGAAGTATGAAATTGTAAAGGATATCCGTAAAGTAAACATGAATCTGTATACTGAAACCCAGAGTGCTATGCTAGAGGTAGAGATTACCTTTGTGGAGTAAATTAAATTTAATACTACTTTTCTAGGTGAGATGGTAAATGATGTAGCTTCTTAAGTGAATAATATTCAGACTGGAAATGTCAGCAGATTAAAAATAGAATTAGTTAATATATTGTTGATAGATTAGAAATGACGACATTTTAGAAATAGCCATTTCTTGGGGTCAATTTCCTATACAGAAACTATCAAGTTCTTTTATAAAATATCTTTGACATTTTTATCAGGAAAAAAAAAATCTTGCTGTATTGGGATTGTCAGTTTTATACTTCGACTTTCTCCTTAATTTGTTATGAAATTTATGTAGTTTGGGGGTCTGAAATCTTCTACTAGACCCTATCATGGATTTGATCTTTTGGGCCTTGAGCCTCCATTTATTATTCCCTGAGGGACCTTTAAAAGTTATTTGAATATTAATCGTTTCATTCAAAGAATTTATTGAGCCCTTGTGTGTATGTGTGTGTATATATATGTATATATATATATATATATATATATGTATATGTGTATAATATAAAACACTATTAGGTGCTGTGGCAGAAGATGGTGGTAGTACTATAATAGTAATATTAATAATAGCTAGTACTTGTGTAGAACTTACTTTTTGCCAAATACTGTTTTAAGTTCTTTAGGTGTATCAGTTCATTTATGTGAAAAAAACATTTTAATTTTCATCTTAGATTTGTGAAATAGGTACTGTTTTAATCCCCATTTTCCTGTTGACAAAATGGAGATAAAGAAATGTTCAGAGAAAGGATTTGATCTAGATGATTGGGCTCATACTCAATTCTTGGGGATAGATTGCTTCTTACTATATAACTCCATCATAACTTGGCCTTTTGAGTCTGGAAGGCACATAAGAAGGCTTCCCAAGTTTAAAGACAAAGAAACAAAGCCCCAAGGAAGTTAACACATTTCTAGTGAATGGTATAGACTGTTCTCTGGGACTCGAGAGGAGGATGTGGCATCAAAATAGGCCAAGCCTTAAAGTACACAAGGGAATTTGATACGGTGTTCCTGGGTTGGGGGGGAGGAGAGCATGAGTACATGCCTGGTAGGAGTAAATGCCTCATATGTTGTTTTCTGGTTACTTTTGTTGTATCAGCAGGTCAGTAATTCAGAAAGCTAGAAGGTAGAAGGTGCCAGATCCTAGAGGAAACTTGAAAGCCAGACGAATAACAGACTTAAACCCCCTAAAGTGTGGCCTTCCTATTGAAATGAGAGTTTGGGGTCTTATTCTTTTAATTTTCTACCTGAAATCATTTTTTGACATTCATTAGCTCAGATGTATTCAAGTAAAGCTCTTTTTGTTCCTATTAAATAGATGAATTTGTTCATTTTTATTCCCTCCTAAGGTACAGTAGTTAAAATTTTTTTCACATTATTTGAAAATGCCAGGTGTTAGATGATATTCTTATTGCTATGGGGACATTCTGTAAGCTCTTTGTAAAATGATTTTAGGTTTCGGGTCGTATTGTACTTCTATTACCTTTAATCTTTTAACCAACTAGAAAATTAAATCTCCTTCTTACAAATTAATTCATCTAAGTGTCTGTAAATTAAAAGACCAAATAAAGATTCTTTATTTGATGTCAGTAAGTTTTGTTTTTTTTTAAGATTTTTATTGGGGAATTGGAATAGCGCTGGGGAATTGGGGGAAGGGGAACAGACAAGTTGCTGTCCTTTTGTTCTTCAGTCTAGTTGTGGAGGATGTTGCTTCACTGGCCCAAGTTGGCACCATTATTGCGCTCTTCCCGGGCGAGGCAGATCAGTTGCCGGCTTCTGGACGGCCGCTCACGCTGGCTGCTGGCTGCTCACGCTGGCTGCTGGCTATACACATGGTAGCCCATGGCAATCCACTGCCACAGGGGCTGCAGCCTACCCCATCGCCAGCGACTCACGGCAGCCCAGCTCCAGGTTGAGCTGTTGTTCAGCATCTTAGCTGTAGAGGGCAGTGTCACTGGCCCTCATATGTGGGATATACCAGGGCCCTCTGGCATCCCAAGCCAGCTCTTAACCAAAGTGCCACTTGGCTGGCCCTCAGAAACTCTTTGTTTTCTAAAACAATAGTATAAAACAAAGCCTGTCTTAAATTTATTTGCCCACAATATCTGAGTTTAAAATCTTCAATAAAATCAGTTCATATTACTATCTCTAGCTCTATTTTCTAAAAATAACCTACACTTTACTATGATTCATTTAACACCATCTCATGGCTTGTCATTAGTCAGAAATGCTTTGCGTATCAAGATTTCATAATGTGAGCAGATCTGCCACATAGATTAGGTTTGTAAATTTGGCTTTTTTTCCAGCATTGAAGTCTCTTCTTTGTGCGTATGCAAAACCACAGGAGACTGGTGGCTTAAATTGTTTTTAAAATTTTTGTTTTTATTTTTTAATTTGTAATTTTTTGCAGTTCTTTACAACCACAATTAGATAAAAAATGTGTTTACTTTAGTATCTGTCAGTTTATTCTTCATGCCATTTAAGAGAACAGATTTCATAAAAATATTTTTATTCACATAATACATAAATCATATATGCAGAGATAGTAAATGAACATGAACGTGTTTCCAATTATACAGATGTCTTAATATCCACATCTCTACCTGAGAATGTGCCTTTTTATTTTTTATTTTATTTTATTTTTTATTTAAAACTTTATTGGGGAACAGTGTGCTTTTTCCAGGACCCATAAGCTCCAAGTCAAGTTGTTTTTAATCTAGTTGTGGAGGGCGCAGCTCAGTGGCCCATGTGGGAATCGAACCAGTAACCTTAATGTTAAGAGTACTGCGCTCTAACCATCTGAGATAACCGGCCGCCACGGGCCTTTTTATTTTGAGTTGGCAACAGAATAGAGATGAAAACAGAGAATGGTGTAATGGGCTCACCATTGCTACTGACTAGTTTTGTGCCTTTCATCAGCTTCTTTGGGATTTGGTTTTAATTTCCAAGTCTTTGCAGTTTAAATAGATTGCAGTTAAAAACAACTGTGGATGGCAAAACAAATTTAAAGAGCATATACTTCATTTATCCAGCAGACATTTAATTGACCACCTAGTAAGTACTAGGCACTGTGCTTACCTTTACCCTTTTAATCTTTCACTTGGGAATCTGCTAACATTCTGGAAATTCCACTATCAACTTACAACATTTATTTTTTCCTCCCTTACCAGGATGACCGTTTCTTATCAGGTCACAGAGAGTGGGGAAAAAAATACACTGGGGACTTGACTTCCTGCTCCTAATATACGGAAGAAACTGGGAAATCAGAGAATACATAGAGTTCTGGATTTCTGTGCCTTCTTCCATAACTTAAAAAAAAAATTATGTGTTTTATGCATGTGTGATAGGACAGTAATCTGCATTATGAGCTTAAATGGCAAGAATCACTGCTGTCACATCTTTTGAGATCGATCCCAGAGGTAATAAGTAATAGTAAATAAATATATATCTACTTTTTCATGTAAGACTATTATTTAGATACTCCTCTTTGAGAAGAGACTTAGGCTGCTGAAGATGTGTGACTGAAATTTACTAATAAACTCAGTTTAAGGTGCAGTGGTTAAGTACTTTTAAGCTCAGTTCACCAAAAACATACTGAGGGCTAGTGGGTGGGAATATAAAGGTTTTTAGTAGGAAGCAGATAATTTCATTAATGTTTGTGTCCTCCAGTTCAAGTGTTTGTTACACTTCAGTTTTTAACATAGTATTATTAAAAAACACACACACAAAAAAAAAAAACAAAAAGAAAAAATAAAATATCAGAGTATATGCCAAATACTAAGTTTACTGAAGTTTGGCTTTACTTGGGTACATATTTGTATACTTACTGTGTCAATAAGAAAAGTTTCTTGCTGCGGGCCACAATCAAACAAGTTTAAAAATTAGTTTCTAAGTATATACCTGGGGCTAGACAGGTGGGCACAAAATTAGCTCCTTCTCGAGGAAAGGTATGCTTCCTGTGGCCTAAGATGAGCTGGGAACGACCTGAGGATGAGAATGGGATGTGTTATTGTCATGGACTTCTGCTAAAGCATAGGGATTGAGTGCTGGTAGCAAAGCGTGCCTATGACTGCTCGTGCAACAGTTTTTCATTGGAATATGTTAAGTAATACGGGACAAGTGGTCTGGAACCAAAGACAGAGAGGATGATCGTGATGGGTAGGACTGTATGCATTGTCTGAAAGCTAAATGCCATTTACAAGTGTTTGGGCGAGGGCACTGTCTCTTGTTCTTTCTCTTGCTGTTACATATGCTATTAACTGTGTAATATATATAATATGCACTAATGTATACACATGTATATACCATGTTATTTTTTTCCCTAAGCCATGTAAAAGTAAGATGTAGACATAATGAATGAGCTTTTACTCCTACATACTTCAGTGTGTATTCCCTTATGAAAAGACAGTCCCTTATATATGGCCACAGCACAGTTTTCAAAACCATAAAATTGATATTGATCAGTACTATTATCCGACTTATAGAACGTTTTCAAATTCACCAATTGTCCCACTGTGTTTGTTCTATAATATAAACGAAAAAAGCAACAACATTTTTTCCTGGTCCAGGATCTAATAATTCAGGAACACTTTACATTTAGTTGTGATGTCTCTTTCATCTCCTTTAATCTAGAACAGTTCCTCAGTCAGTCTTCGTCTTTCATGATTTTGGCACTTTTGAAGAATGCAAGCCATTTATTTTATAGAATTTCGTTCAGTTTGGGTTTATCTTGTTTTTCCTTATAAGATTCAGTTTTTACATTTTTGGCCAGAGTACCAGAGAAGTGATGTCATCATACCAGAAGGCCATAGAGGTTATGGCACTTCCCTCCAAAAACATTTTTGAAATGACCAGTTTTAATATTATATGGAAAGCAAAGTCAGAGATTCTCAAATTTGTCAAGGTATTATAAATGCTCTTAAGATATTTATTCTCCAGTTGCTTTCTCTTAAGAAAGTTTGTGGCCTTTCAGTTAGCTTTTACAAAGTGGAAATTACTGAATAAAATCAGGATAGAGGGAGGAAGAAAGAGCTAGTGTACTTGCATCTTGACGCATAAGGTTTAGAGTGTATGTTTTATGTGAATGAGCATGGGGCTGCAGGGATTGGGCCTTTGAACCCTCAGCCAAGAATGATAAATTATTTATTCCTGGAGTACTTTTGCCAGAACACTGAAATCAATATGCTACTCTGCTTTTAGAAGTTTTACACCTTTCCAAGGCAAACATTCAAATGTATTGAATAGGGAGAAAAGAGATGACCCTTTTATCTGGTAGAAGTAAATACTCATAGACATGAAGTTTATTCATACAATGTTCAGTATTTATTGTTTAAAATTTTAACCCTTTCCTTATTAATGCTAGTTCCTATTGCCTCTTTGAATTATCAAGAAACAGAGCTTGCAACCTACGGTATATTTTATTTGACTTATATATTAACAGTAATACAATTAATCCTTGGTATCAATATGGTGGCCCTTTGAGCAACTCTCCCTTCCCCTTCGCCCCACAAATGATTTATGATAACCTCTTGCTGTAATCTAGGCAGTGTTTATAGTGATAGGGGAGAGTGCAGATTCTAGCTTTGCCAGATGATAGTGTTGTGAAGTGACTTAACATTTATGATAGTTTCTTTATCTAAGTAAAAGGGAATGAGTCATTTTAAACCATCAGACTGCAAGAGTCTTCTTTTGTATTATTTTTACAGTGTTTGTATAAACATTAGTATAGCGCCACTGTTTATATTCTAGTTACAGTTCCATTAAAATGACACACTTCTGGATTATTTTAGGAATACAGATCTATATTACTATAACATAATTTGAAGATGTAAGTTGTAATCACTTATGCTAAAATCACCTGTCTGAAATTATGTATCAGCTTTTCTAAGTTTTTAAAAGGGCTTTAGAAAAATTTCAAATGCTTCTTTACTTATATGTCTTTATTATAAGGTATAGGATATGTCATAAAGATATTTAATATTTAAAGATTACTTGTCCAAAGTTTCTCAGATGTCTAGAACTAGAAACTATGAAGCAGGCTTATTTTTGATACTCTAGTATGAGTTTGAAAGGGCATGCCATAATCATTTTGCCTTATTTCCAAATTTTGGATAATTTTTCTTAATTTGAATAATGTTCTTCACTTCCTCTATTTTATTGTAATTACTTCAAGTGATATTATTACTAATGTGTCATGCGTCTTTTGTGTTGTAGGAACTCACTATACAATGACAAATGGAGGCAGCATTAATAGTTCTACACACTTACTGGATCTTTTGGATGAACCAATTCCAGGCGTTGGTACATATGATGATTTCCATACTATCGACTGGGTGCGAGAGAAATGTAAAGACAGAGAAAGGCATAGACGGGTAAGTGTTTTCAGTCATTTTTTTTTTATAGTACATAGTTAGATCATTTAATAATATATTTCTGCCAATGATCTCAGGCCACCAAAATATATGTTATATGTTAAGGTACATTTAAGCATTTTAACGTTTATTTATACCCCGTATCTTTCCAGAAAGGATTTGAGATACCTTAAAATTAAAAAAAAAATTTTGTAATGTAACGTAAGACAAAATAGGAAGGCAAGGGAAAACAGAGCACATGAGTTTGTGGGAAGATTAAGCCAAGTTCAGGATCTGGAAGTCAACATGATATTGGTCCTTGATTGTCTCAGTGGCTGCAGCAAAGAGGAACCTTGTTACATAATTCTTATTCAAAAAGAAGAAACTTACTTGGGAGATTGTTTTATGGGGTTTTGCTGTTTGTTTTATCTTGGTTTTAAATTCTGAGATATTTCTCAAATTAAGTTCTGTATAGGATATATTGAGTGTTTTAATGAATCCCTAATAAAAAAATCGTGACTTTTACTAAAAAGCACAACTTATGTATCTTTTTTGTTGTTGATTGTGGCTTACTGGTATAATGTAATCTGAAAATAAATTTTACAAAGAGAAAAAAATATTTTTTTGACAATAAAATTCCAAATTCCAAAGGCCCTGTATAACTTTGAGGTCTAAAATTTACTTGTAAATGAAAACGACTGCTTTTACAAATTAGTTATTATCTTTCATATGAATGTATACATGGATTTGAAACCTGAAATTGGAATTAGATTATATTGTTTATGAAAAGTACAGCTTCTGAGATTCATTAGTCAATACTTTATAAGTAGGGTTTAACTGAAAATCAGGCACAGTTCATGAAATCAGTGTGCTAACTTTTTGGTCTCTGATTCCTTTTAAACTGTAAACAATTATTGAGGATGCCTATGAAGCTGTAGTTTATGTGGTTACATTATTCGATGCTTACCATATTAGATATAAAAACTGAGAAATTTAAAAAAAATTAATTCATTTAAAAGTAACAACAAACCCATTTCATGTTAACATAAAAACATATTTATATGAAAAATAGCTATATTTTCCAAAGTAAAAAATATTTGGTTGAGGGAGTGACATTGTGTTTTATAAATCTCATTATTGTCTGGTTTAATAAAAGACTGCTGTTTTCTAATATCTTCTGTGTTCAGTCTGTTATGATATGTTGTTTAATTGAAGTAGATGAAGAAAATCCAGCCTCACAGTTGGAAAAGCTAGGCGTATTTTAATAATCATTGCGGATATTCTCCTTTGATACTGCACCAAAGTGACAAGTGGTAGTTTCTTAAAGGTTAGTTGCAATGTGTAATCTGAAACCGTATCAATGAACTTTGTGTTCTGTTACATTAAAATCCATTGGTTCACCTTGAACTTTGAATGGATGATTTTTAACATCATGCAACGATTGACCATTTGGGAAATTGTGATTCACTGATTTATGCAGCTCTAAGTTTTGACACTTTTCATTATATAATATTTTTTAAAAATCACACTTGTTAATTTCAATATTCATCTTTTCAGAAAAGTCTTTAAGTATTGGGAATCGGTCATCATTAAAGTAATAGATACAAGTTTTCCAAAATTCTAATTTTAGTTGAAAGCTCAAATTCTATCCTTGGAAACAAACATTTATTTTACTTGAAACAACAGGCTTACTTGGTTTGTTCTTGAGAAAATACCTGTCAGATTCTCAAGTCTGAAAACCCATAGTTTGGTGTCTTTCTTTCAAATAAAAATGGTGTTCCATGTAAATGTCTAGTTTATTTGCAACTCAAATAAATCCCATAAATGCTTTGTCTTGATACATAACCTCATACTTCACTATGCATCATAAATGCTTTGTATACACTTACGCCATCACACATAATGTTAAAAAGACTCAATGATTGAGGCATAATAATTTTACTGCTTCATCAAAGACATTCTTAAGTGAAACTGGCACTTATTTTTCACTGGGCTGTGTGGCTGTGAAGAATGTGATGACTGCCAGTGCATTTAAATGCTACTGCCTCGATTTGTGCTGAAGAGCCAGCAGCCTTGGTGGTGTTTTTGTCTTATCTGTGAAAATGTCAACACCGTGAAAAAGGCACATCATGGTTTAGTATTATTAGGAAAATAGTCTTGACTTTGAAGACCCCTTGAGAAGGTCTCAGGGACCCTCAGCGTGTCTGGGGTCCGCACTATGATAACCACTATTTTAATCCAGTGTACCTGCATCGGACACATTGTAATCTTGTGTCTTGTTTTGATTGTTAGGTAAGTACAATTGTACTTGGAATTGTATTCATTTATGGAGTCATTAATATATTCAGGTTGGGGTTTAAATGTGTTTTAAAGTGATGCACTGTGAAAGTATCCATAAGATATCATGTTAATAAAATTTTAGAGAAAATTGAAACTAAAAGAAACCATAGCACACTCCTTTTTTCTCTGATTATAAATAAAAGTAGTCCACAGTCCTTGAAAACATTTCAAACAATGAAGCAATATATCAAGTAGTCAGTAAGTGTCCTAGCTGATTGTATCAATCATCTTTTTCTGGATAAGGCAAATATTTTCAATACTTTCATCTATGCTCCTATATAATAACAAAATTTTTAAAAATTTTCTATACATAGATGTTCTTAAAATATTCAATTAAAAAAAAAAGCTTGTCAGTATATATACCTACCTAATGCTTTTTCCCCTAAGCTTTTTATTATACTTGTAGCTCTCCTACCCCAGATTATTTTGAAGCAAGTCAACATTATTATATCATTTTAGATATTACTATTTCAGTATTTTACAGAATGGTTGTTTCTAATTGTCAGCCCTCTTTTACTTAATATCTTGAATATTTTTTATAAAGAGAACCCCATGTTAATTATATGGATTTCCTTAAGTTCAGATTGTAGAGAAAAGGGAGAAAATTTAAAATCATATGGTTCCCTCACATCCCCAAAGTTGACTGATGAGGTTTTGGTTTGCTTATTTGGTTTTTGTTTCTGTATGTTCATGCACTCATGGATTTAAACTTATTCGGTGTGTTTTAATCATCACAATTGTTATACTAACTGATGTCCATGTTATTCCATTTTGACTAGTGGCAGTTTAGTTTGGTTGGTGTGTGTGTCCTTGGACACATCCTTAGTAGACTTCGATTTATTCTGGAAAACCAAGATGATCTTTAGCTTGTGTTATGCGTTTCCTGGACCAAACCTGTGTCGGCTATTCCTCTGAGGAGCTCTGGTTCCTTTGGAGAAAAATGGTGTCTAGGTAGCCTGGGCACTAGAGATACCAGTTGCTTCTGGGTTGGCTATTGCTAGCCTCTTAAGTTTATAGCAATCTTCCAGTTTAAATTCAACACTACAAGGCTTTTATTTAACCACTAGTTCTTAAATCTGTATCTCCTTCCAACCATGCCCCAAATCTCAATGTCACTTATATAATCATTTGATTTATGACATAATGCACAAATAACAATTTCAGAATATTATCAACACTGTCGCCAAATATGCTTACTGAAAAGTTTTAGTGTTTTCTTTTTTTCTAATGCTTTTTGTCCTTAGTTTTTACCTCACGAGGATTATATATACTAATGTGTTTTAAAGTCCCTGTCCCTTCCAACCTGTTGCCTTCTTCGTCTTCTAAGTAATGATTTACATTTAAAATTTTATGGTTTATCACTTTATTTCTAAGAATATAAGCATATATATTTATATACTTATATTTTTTGTATAAACAGTAGCACACTATGCACACTTTTATCCACTTTACTTTTTTCCCTCTGCATCACATCGTATCTATCTTATTCTTTTTAATGACTGCAGAATTTTTTTATTACATAGATGTACTGCAATTTACTTAACCAGTGCCACATTGATGAACATATAGATGATTTCTAGTTTTTAATTAATATTATATTTTATTAAACATTACAGTTATTTTTATTGAGAAAAGGCAATGTGAGGTTTAATAATTGTTTTTGAAAGAAATGACCTAGCTTCAATCCTAAAGAATGGTTAATATCTGTGATTGGTTGCTTGTAATATGGAAAGAGTAAAATTACCTCATTCAACTTAGAACTTACTGAGTCTTTTTAATGGGACCCTGTGGCCTAAAATAGACCAGATGTTTGAAATAGACCAGATCATTGACTTCTAGCTGTAGGCCTCCAATGAACAGCTGAAGTTCTAAGCTGAGAGTATTGCTTTTTTTCTTCTTCTTCTTCCTCAACTTTTATCTATGTGCTGGTAGTAATTTAGTTCCTAAATATAGGCTTTTTAAAATCAGCAACCCCAAGGGCTGGCCAAGTGGCTCAGTTGGTTAAGAGCTCACTCAAGAGTGTGAGCTCTGAGCAACAGGGTCTCCTGGTTCGACTCGCGGCCTGAGCTGAGCTGCCAACAGCTACCAACAGGTGGCAGGATTGCTCAGCTTAAAAAAAAAATCAGCAACCCTAGTAAAACAAAAGGTTACGGTTTTAGGTTTACAAGTGCATTCTTAGTAAGAGAGGCAAGACGTGTCTTCTTTTGTCTTAGTTGAGTGAGACCTGGAAAACATTTCAACTGTTAAGTTTCCTCTAGTCACACCTCCTCACTATGCTCAATAGAGGGCACTTCTGACTTACACAGTGTTTGGAAAAGAGCCTCTGGACCCTAACAGTGGGATTGGACTTCTCCATACCTGCATATTTACAGGCCCACAAATTTATTTGTAAATTTATTTTATAGCCCCTTTATTCACATGACTATTCCATACTACATTTATGGGCATAGTGCTGTTATTCACTGACCTTACCTTTTTTTTTTTTTAAGATTTTATTGGGGAATTGGGGGAGGGGAACAGTGTTGGAGAATCGGGAAAGGGGAATAGACAGGTAGACAGATTGCTGTTTTGTTCTTCAGTCTAGTTGTGGAGGACGTCGCTTCACTGGCCCATGTTGGTATTATCATTGCACTCCTCCTGGGTGAGGCAGTCGCTTGCCGGTCATTGGTCGGCCGCTCACAGTGGCTCCCGGTAGTTCACACGGGCTACGAGCCGCTCACGCTGGCTGCCAGCCACTCACATAGCTCACAGCAGCCCACTGCAGCCTACGCCATTGCTGGCGACTCACAGCAGCCCAGCTCAGGTCGAGCTGTTGTTCATCATCTTAGCTGTAGAGGGCCCAGCGTCACTGGCCCTCAATGTGGGATCCAAACCGCAGCCCTGCTGCTCAGAGCTGGTGCTCCCAAGCAAGCTCTTGACCAGCTGAGCCACTTGGCAGGCCCTGATCTTACCTTTTAAAGAATAATATAACCCATTTAATTGCTAGGACCAGAGAATGACTGGGGAATGATAGACGTTTCAAGCTATAATGTCTTATTTCTGTTAATATAAAAGATGTATACCAGCTAAATTTGGTATAATTTAAGCCAGTGTAGGTCAGACTTTATGTAGTTTGTGGACCCCTTGCTCTCAAATTCTGAGGTTTTTTATACAGATCTTTGGGTAAATGTTTGTCACCTGGTTTGCAGGTATAGCAACTGATAGGGGTTTTGCCCCAAACTCACCTTTTCCGTGATGTAGATTAGAAAATGCTGTCCTGTGTATAGTAACTGAGAAAAATTATTAGATTCTAGAATTGTGGCTTCCATTTATAGTTTGAATAATGAAGCATAAACATTTCTTTTTCTTTTTAATTAAAGTTTATTGGGGTGACAATGGTTAGTAAAGTTACATAGGTATCAGGTGTACAATTCTGTAATATATCATCTATAAATCACATTGTGTGTTCATCACCTAGAGTCAGTTCTCCATCCATTCTAATTTCAGATCAACAGCAAAAAGAAAGAATCAGCATGGGAAATGACCAAAAGTTTGTATGATGCGTGGTCAGGATGGCTAGTAGTAACACTAACAGGATTGGCATCAGGTAAGGAAAAATGTTCACGCAATCGTTTTCTGGTTAACAGAACAATAAATAGTTCTCCCCTTCTTCCCACAGTTTTCTTTTCAGGTACTGTTGGATTTTTTAAAGCATTTTTTTGTTTGTTTCTTTCCTTCAAAAAAACTTCTTAAATATAAGACCAGAAGGCAGAGGCTTCTGAGTCTAGTCTTTGCTGTATCACTTCAAGTGCCTATCTAATTTTTTTTTTTTTAATCTTTCCGGGCTCAGTTTCTGTATCTGTAAAGTACATGGTTTGGACCAGATGATCAATAAGTATCTTTTAATGGTAACATCATAATAAATAGCTAATATTTGTTGAGCGCTCCCTCTGTGTCCTGGACTGTTTTAAAAGCTTTACGTGTATATAAACCACATGGCAATCCTATAGTATATGTGCTGTTATTATCACCATTTTACAGATGAGGTGACTGGAGCACAGAGAGGTAAGTCACTTGACTAAGGTCACGCAGCTAGGAAGTGACCAAGCAAAGATGTCAATTCAGGCAGTTTAGCTTTTTTTGAAGATTTTATTTGGGAATTGGGGGAGGGGACCAGCCAAGTTGTTGTTCTTCAGTCTTCGCTGTGGAGGATGCCTGTTGCCATCTGGCTTCCTGTCAGCAGCTCATGGCCTCTAAGCTCAAGTGTTCAATCTTAGTTGCGGGTGGGCGTAGCCACCATCCGATGCAGGAGTCCAACCAGCAGCCTTGTTGTTAAGAGGGCACTGCCGCTCTATCCACTGAGCCATCCAGGTTCAGTCTTAGTTGCGGGTGGGCGTAGCCCACCATTGAGCAGGCAATCTTGTTACACCAGCTGAGCCATCCTGCCACCTGTTGGCAGCTCAGCGACAGCTCAGGCTCTATCCACTGAGCCATCTGGGCAGCAGCTCAGCTCAAGGTGCCAGAGTTCAGTCTTAGCTGCGGGTGGGCGTAGCCCACCATTGAGCAGGCAATCTTGTTACACCAGCTGAGCCATCCTGCCACCTGTTGGCAGCTCAGCGACAGCTCAGCTCGGGCTCAGCATCACTGGCTCATGTGGGAATCGAACTGGTGGCCCTGTTGCTTAGAGCTCATGCTCTTAAGACAACTCAACCAACTGAGCCACTTGGCTGGCCCAAGAGCCTGCACTTTTAACCACCACGCTGGAGAGTGCCCACATAGCCTCTATGTGTGAAATTTTAAGATATAACGTTGAAGCTCTGAAAACAAATGTTAAGGACTATTTTAATGACTTTCAGCTTCCACCATGGAAGATTATGTCCCGAAGAACATGAGGAAAACTAATATTTGTGTGGAGAATAATAGAGGGAAATACTCTAATTGACAAGCACAAGAATTTTGTGTTTGTGACTCATTGATCTTTTTACATGATGAGAAGGACCTTGGGTTTGACTATAAAGTTCTGTATTTTTTGTGTTCTGTCTGTAAAATTATCTTGATATATTTGATTTTTTTGTTATTTAAGAAAAAAATGAAAATTTATCACAGTAATTAATGCTATGAGTTTTACTAATTATTTCTAATAGACATTAAATTTTAATGGGATTGAGATCATTTGTAAATTTATTAATTAAGTTTTGGATTGAAGCATACTAGTAAAAACTTGGACTTCAATAACCAGGTTTGTGAACCTCCTGTTAGGTACCTGTCTATTGAAGATGTTTTAGTATCTTTATAAACACCTTTTTTTTAAACTCACAATTAATTTGAATGATGTAATTAGTTTTGATTTCAAACAAAGAATGACAGTTTTGTTTTAAAAAATAGCTATTTACAGTTTTTAAAAAGTAATATAAACTCATTGATAACTAAGATTTGAAAAATCTTAAATTCTTGTGTATTCCTTTTGTGACTCTTTGTGCTAGGGAGTTCCCTACTTTCCTTGGCTCTTTAACCTTGATAATTCCTAACCCCCACGAAATGGATTTAATTTTTTACCACCCCCAATGTGTTTTTACAGGGGCCTTAGCTGGATTGATAGACATTGCTGCAGATTGGATGACTGACCTAAAGGAAGGCATTTGCCTTAGTGCTTTGTGGTACAACCATGAACAGTGCTGTTGGAGGTCTGATGAAACGACATTTGAGGAGAGGGATAAATGTCCACAGTGGAAGACATGGGCAGAATTAATCATAGGTCAAGCAGAGGTAAGTCTTGCTTTGTCTCAAGAGGAATGAATAATTGATATAGTGAAGTGAGTCTCCAAATCATTTAATTACAGAATTAATGATATCAGATAATTGCAACCTTAATTAAAGGGAAAAAGAAATGTAATAGGATAGAATGGATAATATGAGACTACATCGCAGGATGTAAAACATAAGTATTGTTTCAAGAAGTTCTTGTATTAATTAGCTGGTCATGTCCAAGTCTCACGGCTTATGACGTAAAATGTATTTCGTCATCCTGCTACCTGTTGGCAGCTCAGTGGCAGCTCAGCTCGGGCCGGGAATTGAACCGGCAACGCTGTTGCTCAGAGTTCACACTCTTGCGCCACTCGGCCGGCCCTAAAATGTATTTCATATTGTAGAAAAGAACTGCAGCAGGTTCTGTGAAACCACAGAAGTTTATTATGAAGTCACGTTATTAAAATTGCTTAATGTATTACATCACGATTAATTGGGAAATATGAATTAATAAAAAAAATTTAGAAAATAAGCCTTCTTACTGGAGCTATCCATAGATTTTTTTTTTTCTTCATGGAATTACAGTGTTGAAATGATTATTTTACTATTCTGGGTCTATAATGAACATTTTAGAAATTAGAATATTATATAATTTATAGAATATTATATATATAATATGTATAATATAATTTTAGAATATTATATAAATTACCTTATTATTTATGGATATGTTTTCAAAATTTTGTTATAGCTGAATTTTAGAGATTAAAGTATAACTGAGATTCTGGACAAAAGACTTTAGGGATCAGGAAAAAGCTAGAAAAAAAAACCATTAAATAGATTAAGGCTCCTTGGTATGTATACAGATGTATCTTTGGATTCTACTTAGATATTTTGTTCATGTAAAGCTTTTTTTATTGAAGTAAACCAGGAGTTTTTACAAGTTTTACCAAAGTTTCTTATGAGGCAAGCACTTGCATTGGAGGAAAATTAAATTCATGCTATTGAACTATTTGCCTTTCAGGGTCCTGGTTCTTACATCATGAACTATATATTGTACATCTTCTGGGCGTTGAGCTTTGCCTTTCTTGCCGTTTCCCTGGTAAAGGTGTTTGCTCCATATGCCTGTGGCTCTGGAATTCCAGAGGTAAGCCTTGCAATATTTAGTGTCATTAAACATTCAGTAATTGTTATGATGCTTATCTTTTTGCCTTGGGGGAAAAAAGTGGTTGTTTTTCTGGGGAAATGGTTTGTTTGTAATATGAAAAAGAAAAGTTAAAATATGTAAGCTTATTGTAAATATCCTTGAAAGAAATTCTTCCCTGGAGTCATTTCGTCATTTACTGTGGAGGTTGATTTTTTTTTTTTTCCTTACCACTAATTTAGCACATGACTAAACAAATATCAGAAGACTTACTGAAACCTCAGGAATCTGGAAAAATATCTTGAGGCCTAAAGTTCTTTGATGGCTTAGTTGATGTTTTACAGTTATGAACCTGATTTGAATACATTCACTCTCTTTCTATAACTATTTTTTAATTAGATGTTAATAAATCTTGAACTTGGAAGATAATATATATAACTATTTAATACTTTAAAATAAACATTTGATTATAGTGGGTCAACAGCACAAACTTTTGGATTTTATTATTTACAAACAATAAAGGAGAATATACTTAGGATTGAACATGATGTTAACTCATTGCTTTACCCTTTTTATTTTGTTTTAAATAAGTTCCGGCGTTTCCTAGTGCATTTCTTTTAAAATCTAAATTGTAGTGATTTTTAAAGCCATATTAAGAATACTTTAATGAGGATTAACATCATGCAGTATTTAGCAGTTGCCATTCATCCTTCTTGAAACATAGGAAAATATTACACATAATTGCAGTACTCTGAGAAGGCATATCTCTATTTCTGATACAGCATGTGTGAAATGTATCTAGCTATATTTCTACAACAGAAATATTTAAATTTGCCTTTTCTGGTTATACAACTATAACCCTTGTATTAAGGGTTGTATTCCTTTTAACATGGCCAGATATTTTAGTTTTGTTTATGAGATAGGGTTGCTTTCTATCTTGCTTGAGACAAGAATTAGAATGTGATAATAGGTTTATTATATGTAGCATAATAGTTGAAGCTTTTGAAAAATTAACTGTGAATTGTTCCATAGTCCACCTAAATTTACAAGTTTTGTTGAGTAAAACAGGAGAGTAATTTAAGTTAGTTAAGTTCTCATGTTTGTTAAAGGAAATTAAACTGCCTTCATCTTTCCTTTGTAGATTAAAACCATTTTGAGTGGATTCATCATCAGAGGTTACTTGGGGAAATGGACTTTAATGATTAAAACCATCACGTTAGTACTGGCTGTGGCATCAGGTTTGAGTTTAGGAAAAGAAGGTCCCCTGGTACATGTTGCCTGTTGCTGTGGAAATATCTTTTCCTACCTCTTTCCAAAGTATAGCACAAATGAAGCAAAAAAAAGGGAGGTAAGTGTCTTTTGTAATTTTTACATATATACACCTGTTACATAGATATTATCAGTGAAGACTTTCCTAGTCTAAAGATAACATTTTACTCTGCTTTTTGGAGAAAGTCTGTCTTCAGATGAAAAATTGAATATGGACATTGTGCTTCTTTTCTTTTTTCTGAATAATTGCTAATGTCTTTGTAGAATCCATCCTCAGTGCTGCTTAGTTACTTGTATATTTCAGAGACGTAGATATAGGTAGACTACCTGGTGATTATTGGTTTCAGTAGAATCTCACAGAGGTCTTTCATTTGTTTTTGCCTTACAACTCCCCTCCTCTAAAGTGTTTCCCAAATGCAACATTAATTTTACTCTTATTCTCACCATCAGTATTTCGCCAGGGCTGGGAAATCTGAACAACTGTGTTTCCCTCTGGAGGAAGTGTCTAATGCCAGTGGGAGTGGGGCGTGTCATCTGCAGAGAGCGGTCAGGCACCCCGGGAAATTCTGAGGGCCTCCAGGACCGCCTGAGGTTTAAATCAAAGATTCACATTAAAGGGGATCTTGGAATTCCTCTTTATTCAGCTGTTTAGGGCAGTTTCTTTTACCATTCTTTTTAGTCCAGCCTGAGATCATCTAGGAAATCTTTAAACTATACATATTATGGTTTCTCTGATGTTTCTAGATTGCTTTGGATAGTTTTTAGAAGGAAAGTGAGCTCCTGAGATCTTCTGTGTTAGCTCTAGACTTGGGAGGCCCAGTCCCTTCCTATTTTCCCAATCTAATTTTCTGCCCTAGATGGTACACAGCTCTTTGAGTTTTTGAGGTCTGATATGTTTCTATTTCATTAAATATTGAGAATTCAGGGGTCTCTGGTCCTAAGACAGGGCATTTCATCCTGTTGTTTTTTTTACAATGTAGTGAAAAAGTATAATATTTTTTTCTATCAAACTATTTAATTCCTCAATTAAAATAATTATAGTTTATTTTAATGTTAGCACTAAAACATTGTCCTTGCATTGTCAGTCTAAAAGTGGAACACTTCAGAGCATCATTGTTTCATCCCTGAATGATAATTGTGATTCCACTACTATCCTATAAAACAAAATAACATTATCAATAACTTAATATGTACCTGGTTCTGTGGCAAGTACTTTACTTGCATTTATAAATTTAATTCCACAAAAATCTTATTTTAAGTTAGTACTATAGTCCTCATTTAAAGAGGAAATTAGAGCTTAAAGTGCCTGACTTGCCTAAGATGACATAGTGTCAGAGTGTGGATTAAAATTTATTTTTCTCTGACCCAAAAGTCTATACTTTTAACTACTGTACTACTACGACTATGATTGTGTGGATATGTCTTTGTGTGTATTCAAATGTTAAAACAAAACCTAAAACTGTACTGAAATGGCAAGTTAGTGGCTAAGATGGAAATACAGCATTTGTCTCCTTAGTTCAATTTCTTTACTTGCTATTGTACCTTGACATTTTTGGGATAAGATTTTTATTTTTATTTATTGATTGTAAGTGAAAAAAGTATAAATTATTAGAATATGTTATCCAAATTAAATTTACCTAAATTTTAATGTCCACACTATGATGTAAGGTTTATGACATTAATTTTATTCTGTCACCTTAGTATATAAATGTCGAGAGTTTGCTTTTGAGTTGAAATCATTGAGGCCTCATAGTTTGGCTTTCTTCCTATGCCCATTTCCTTGACATTTTTTAATTAAATGATTCTTAGATACTTAGAAAACAGATTAAAACGTGTGTGAGTTACAAGTACATGGGTGTTAGCTCGATTGTAAAATACTGTTTTATTAAATGGAGAATCAGAGAATTCAGTTTAATGTGTTGTCTACAATCCTATTAAATGGAAAATAAAAATCAAAATAGTAAGTTAGACTGCCCCAAGTAGGCAGTCTGCATTCTCAAATCCAGATACTACTTAATTAAAGCAAATATTTGTTTATTTTTTAATTTACCAAACAGCAGCCTTACTCTGTAGTTTGTGCTCTTAACCATTTATAATTTAATTTTGATAATTTCTAATTTCTCTTTCAGAAATGTAAAAATTGAACATCTGAGGAAATGCTTTGGTAGCCTCAAATATTTACTGGACTAAAATAGTGAAAGGAATAAAGACTCTTAGAAAAGTGCAAATAAAAGTACAAATAAATTTATAGGTGTAGTTGGCTTCAAACTGGTGGGAAGTGGGCAATACCCAAGTCACAGACAAGGGAGCTGGAAAGAGCATCCATTATGTGTGTTTGTGGATTTTTCTCTTCCTTAAACTTTATTGTTAGGGGTTCTGGTTGGTGACACTGCATCATAAGGGGCAGTTCAGAATGGGGCTCACCATGTTGACAGTGCCAGTATTTTCGGAGGACTCAGGGAAGTGAAAATACAGGGAAACTCAATAGGTTTTAAGTTCCCTGGATATTTTACTAAGATTTGGAATAGAGTAATGATTAATGATGGGCAATTAGCTCTAAACTCTGAAGAAATAATATCCAATTTAAAAATAAACTCTCCCCTCACACTCCAGTTACTGCTCTCTCCACTGGTCTTCACAAACAAACATCTTGAAAATTGGTTGTATTCATTGCCTCTCCTTTTTTACATCCCACTGACATCAGTATATCTCGCACAGATGTTTTTGACTGAATATTGAATATATGACTGACCTTTCAATTAAAGCAGAAGAGAAAAAAAAAATTTTAGGATAAATAAATATTTACCTTTGGGGAGGAGAAAGACGTGAGTTAAATTCAGAAGAGGCATTTTGAAAATTAGCATGCCATGAAGAATTTTTATTTGCTATATTTTTGAATTATAAGAACATATGAAATAAGCAACACCCTCTTTTTAGGTGCTGTCAGCTGCCTCTGCTGCAGGTGTTTCCGTAGCTTTTGGTGCACCCATCGGAGGAGTTCTTTTTAGCCTGGAAGAGGTAGGTAAAAAACAAACAAACAAAAAAGCAGCAACTAAAATGGTATGTAATTACCATTACAAATATAATTTGCTTTCCAGTTTTATAGCAAGTGTAATATTAATATATATAGATTTTGTTAAGTTTTCAAGTTTATTTTCATAATTATTTTCCACTCTTACATAAAAGGTAGTATATTAAATATGTTCTTAACCTTGAGAAAAATATTTTTAAAAATATTATTCATGTATAAAAATTAGTAATTTAGCTTTAATGTATTTAAAAGTAAGCACATATGAATTTGACTTAATAGAAAATATTTAAACAATCCATCCCTATTAACTGAAATATAAGAATCTTTTTATTTTAAAATTTTTAATTCCTCAGATGGTCTTTGTAAGTTTTTCTTATGTGATTATTTTTGTTGTAGTTATTGATGCTTAAGAGAGATAATTTTAGTTGCTTCAGTGCAATATGTTGGTTTTGTTTTCTTTTTGGTGCTTAAGACTTTTTATACATTTACTTAAAACTATGACTGGGAATATTTTACAATTAACTTTTTTTTCCAGTTTGTGTTCTATGCTTGTATTTTTCTATTTAGTATAGAAGAAGTAAATTAAATAAGAGCTAACATGAATTGGTGGCAGGACATTTATTCTTTACTATGATTGTATTGGAGGTGAAATTCATTTTGAAAATAAAACAATGCTAGGTATTTTAAATAATTGTTAGACATTTATGACCAGTTGGTATTTTGAATGTAAAGTGATGTGATAGTCAAAGTTAATAAAACATTAATATTTGTCATACCATAGTAAAATCCGTTATATGTAAATTCTAGCTGCAGCAAAATTTAGAGCTATGATATTTACCATTCAACTTATAACTATTACAACATATCAGAAGTATCTTATAAAATCGGAGCATTAATTTTCTTTTTCTTTTTTTTTTTAGGTTAGCTATTACTTTCCTCTTAAAACTTTATGGAGATCATTTTTTGCTGCTTTAGTGGCTGCCTTTGTTTTGAGATCCATTAATCCATTTGGTAATAGCCGCCTGGTCCTTTTTTACGTGGAGTATCATACACCATGGTACCTTTTTGAACTGTTTCCTTTTATTCTCCTCGGGGTATTTGGAGGGCTTTGGGGAGCCTTTTTCATTAGGGCAAATATTGCCTGGTGTCGTCGACGCAAATCCACCAAATTTGGAAAGTATCCTGTTCTTGAAGTCATTATTGTTGCAGCCATTACTGCTGTGATAGCCTTCCCTAATCCATATACTAGGCTCAACACCAGTGAACTGATTAAAGAGCTTTTTACAGACTGTGGTCCCCTGGAATCCTCTTCTCTTTGTGACTACAGAAATGACATGAATGCCAGTAAAATTGTTGATGATATTCCTGATCGTCCAGCAGGCCTTGGAGTGTATTCAGCTATCTGGCAGTTATGCTTAGCACTCATATTTAAAATCATAATGACAGTGTTCACTTTCGGTATCAAGGTAAGTGCTAATGTCGGGTGATATTTACATAATCTTGGAATGTTCAAAACTTGTATGTAGAATGAGAAGTAAAGTTTTTTTTTATCTAAAGGTGGTTTCATAAATGTAAGCTGAAAAGTTTTTATCTTTTGGGTTTAATTTTCAGTAATGAAAAAACAATTCCTTAGGACATATTGTTGAGCATGGTATCTGTTGCTTTGTAACAAATTATTCCAAAACCTAACATCTTATTCAAAATAACTACTTATTTTGCTCTTGATATTGGTCAGTGATTGGGGAAAGACTTCGCTAGGCATGTTTTGTTTGCGGCCTCTCATATGGTTGTCATCAGACATGGCTTGGACTGGTGGTCATCTCACAGACATTAATTTGTCCGGCACCTAGGCTGAGAAGATTCAGACAACTGGAACTGGAACATCTGGGCTCCTGGAACACCTCTCTCTCTATGGTTTTTTCCAGCATGATGGCCTCAGGGTGGTTAGATTTCTTACATGGTAGCTCAGGGTTCCAACAGCAAGTGTCCCAAGAGAACTGTTTGTAACCCACCCACAGAAGTCACCCAGCATGCCTTCTGTTGCATTCTCTTTGTCTACGCAGCCACAAAGGCCTCTGGCCAGGTTCAGGGGGAGGTACATACACTCACCTCTAGTGGGGGAATGTCAGAGAATTCGTGATTATGCTTCAAAACCATTTATATTAGTTTCCTATTGCTGCTATAATAAATTACCACAAGTTTAGTGGATTACAATGACTCAAATTCGTTATAATTGTGGAGGTCAGAAGTCCAGAATGGGTCTTGCTGAGCTGACATCAGGGTTTTCACAGGGATTTGTGGAGGTTCTATGAGGTGCATCCTTTTTTTTTTTTTTTTGGCCTTTTCCTGCCTTCTAGAAGCTGCCTGCATACCTTGGTTCATGGCCCCCTTCTTCCACCTTCAAAGCCAGCAATGGCTCATCTAGCCTTTCTTTTATCTCATCATTCTGACACCAACTCTTCTAAATCCTTCTTCCACACTTAAAACACTTTTATTAATTACTTTCAGCCCAATCAGATAATCCAGGATAATCTCCTGTTTGAGGGTCAGCTGGGTAACAATTTTAGTACCTCCTTGCCATGTCACAATGAATTCACAGGAAATAGGATATCCGTATCTTTGGGGAGCCATTGTTCTGCCTTACCATATCCCTGTAGGGTGTTGAAGGGACACTGCAAACTCAAGAGTTAAATTACTCGGCCGTGAACAGTATGCCTGTTTCCATCAAGGATTTAAGGCCGTTGCTTCCTTTGAACTTACAAAAGTGACAATAGCATTCATTAATTAGTGATTTGCTAGTAAATACAGTTCTACTATATGGGTGTTAGTGATGTATCTGCGGAATCAGATGTCAGCTAATCCTTGTTTTTTCAATTATTGCACCAATAGTTCATATAATATTTAATGTTCTCTAGTGATAGCACGCTTTCACAAATGTACATTATGTGGAATAACTTAATAGCAACAAAATTAGAGTGGTTTTAAAATATGGTCTCTTTTCTATCGTCCTCCATGTTTAGTCCACTGGGTATAAGAGTTAAATAATAGAAAAACCTTGAAATTTTACTTTTATTTTTCTTAGCGAATCAAGTTAAAGGAGTTATTAAAGCTCCTGTTTCTACAGTAAGTTGATTTTCTATAAATCCCAACTTTCTCACCCGCAGTTGATACAGGAAGCTGGAGACAATTAGCAGCCCTTTGTTAAGTCCCCATCACCCTCCACTCTGGCAGGAGAGTGTAAAACATATTTTGATCACTTCTATTTGGATATCCATTTATTGATCCTGATATACTCTTCAAAATGCCATCACTTTGTGCTTGGCTTGTTTCGTATCCGGAACAGTTTAGAGCTGTTGGTCTTTTAATAGTCTGTAAATGACCTTGCAGAAGCTGCTTACTGTTCCTATTACCCTCATTAAATCATTAATTAATATGAATTAAAAGGAGAAAAATATCGATTAAATTTATATATAGTGATTATATATATGTATAAATATATAAATAAAATCACTAAAAAAATACTGGGGGACCTGATAAGATTGCCCACTTTACATTCCCTCTTTAAGAGGAATGGCATGTACTATTTCTGTCATTTGATAAACAACAAATATGTAGAAAGGACATACTCTTGGAGTACAGGACAGTACTTCAAGCTGAATTGATTTAGAGTTATGAAAAATGCTTTGCACTGTCTTTTTTTTCCCCCCCACTTCAACGTGGACTAATGAAAATTTTGTCAAGAACCCCTGAGCTAAAGGATAAATAACCCTTGGGTTATTTTCTCTTTGGCCTAGAGAATGCAGTTTGTTACTTTGTAAGTGAATTTATAGAATTGTTAAGATACTGTTATAGCAAGATTTTGCTCAAGTTATATTGTGCAAAAAGGATTTTACTATGTAAATGTGAAAAGTGTTAGAAAGAAACCCACAGAAGGTAGGTTTAAAGCATGTGCGGAGAGGATCTCGGCCTCAGTAAGCATTCTGTTTTTGTTACAGGTTCCCTCCGGCTTGTTCATCCCCAGCATGGCCATTGGAGCGATCGCAGGAAGGATTGTGGGAATCGCAGTGGAGCAGCTTGCGTATTATCACCACGACTGGTTCATCTTTAAGGAGTGGTGTGAGGTCGGGGCTGACTGCATTACCCCCGGCCTTTATGCCATGGTTGGTGCTGCTGCCTGCTTAGGTAATGTCGCTGTGTCTGGATGCTTGTGAACCTCAGAGAGAAAAGAGTGGGTGTGAGAGCGCTCATACTTAATTGGTAGGGGGAGGGGTAGGAGGGTACAGGACAGAAAGAGATTGAACAGAAACTAAACAATACCACCATTATAGGGTATTACGCAGCACTGGTTTTCATTTTCCTGTCTCTGAACATTTGTTAATGCAAAAATTTTATTGTTAGCAGCTTTTTAATGTCACATAATACTTTATGACAGAAAACATCTCAGTACAACTTGGGCTTAACTTGAATCCTGTCCAAGGAGATTTTTTGTGTTTTCATTGTGAAGGATCTTGACTTAACTATACTAACTATAGCTTGGTTCCTAAGATTAGTATTCTAGCAAAGCTGCAGAATAGCTTTACTTCGGGCTCTGCAGTGATTTATTTTTAGCCTCAGTAGAAGATTTCTATACCAGCCTCTATCCATCTGTGGTGCAATTATAGCAAAATGAGAAAGGTAACTACTCATTTCTTTTTATATTTAAAATGTCAGCTAAACTTTGGTTATAATATTTAATAATAATTGACTTATTTTGACTTATTTTTGTTCAGAGCATCAAAATTGTGTAGAGTAATTATTGATCACCACAAGTGTAATATCAATGAAAGTGAAGTACAGAATCATTTTTGCTAAAGTCACAAGAATTTATTTTTATTTTATTTTATTTTTTAAGATTTTTATTGGGGAATTGGAGGGATGGGAACAGAACTGGGAAATTGGGGGAAGGGGAACAGACAAGTTGCTGTCGTTTTGTTCTTTAGTCTAGTTGTGGAGGACGTTGCTTCACTGGCCCAAGTTGGCACCATCATTGTGCTCTTCCCGGGCAAGACAGATCAGTCACTGGCTTCTGGATGGCCGCTCACGGCAGCTGCTGGCCGCTCACGCTGGCTGCTGGCTACACACGGTAGCCCATGGCAACCCACTGCCACAGGGGCAGCAGCCTACTCCGTCGCTGGCGACTCATGGCAGCCCAGCTCCAGGTTGAGCTGTTGTTCACCATCTTAGCTGTAGAGGGCAGTGTCACTGGCCCTCATATGTGGGATCCGAACCGGGGCCCTCTGGGTCCCAAGCCAGCTCTTAACCATTGCGTCACTCGGCCGGCCCACAAGAATTTATTAAGTGTCCACTTTCGGTTCAGCACCATGCTAGGTGCAGTCAGTGATACAAAAATAAGTATAAAACATGGACCAACCTCAATTACAATCAAGTTGGGGACTCAAGACCAACGCTGAGAAAACAATAGTGAGCAACAGATACTGATTATATACAGTACTGCAAGAGTCTGAAAATTGTAGGACTCTAGAGGGAAAAACATGTGAAATAGTTCAGGTAGGGTAGAACAGCTTTATTTTAAAAGATTGATAGAATTTAAAGGAGAGGACTTTATTGAAGAGTATAAACACTGTCAAGACAAAAAAATTAGGCTATAAATAGGTTTAGTATTCATGGGGCACTGAAGAAACTGACAATATTGAAGTAGAGAGTGTATTTAGTATAATTTAGGAAACCAGGTTGGATTGGTGAGAGAGCCAGATTATGAGAAGGATGTTAGGGTGAATTTGTATTTGGAATTGGTCAGATTTGTGACAGTCGTGGCTTCACCATTTTTAGCTAAATGACTTTGGGAAAGCTCCTTGACTTTTTAGTTGTTGTTTTTTAATCTATAAAATGGAAATAACTACTTATCTCCTATAGTTGTTTTGGGATTATATCAAATAAAATGTATATAAGCTGTTAGTATCGTGCCTGATAAAATAAGTGCTTAGTTAAAAAATAATTTTGGGCCGGCTGGGTGGCGTGATGGTTAAGAGCTGGCTTGGGATGCCAGAGGCCCCTGGTTCGGATCCCACATATGAGGGCCAGTGACACTGCCCTCTACAAAAAAAAAAAAAAAAAAAAAATTTTTAAAGTGTTTGTAAACTGAGTAGGACTTGTCTGGCCTAGTGTATATAAGGAATACATAGTAGGTTTTTTTGTGCCATCTATTTTTAAGTTCAAAAGCAAGAAGGAAGGTTTTAAGCTTAATATAGTATGAACTGGTGAGCCCTGGTAGGTTTTTGAGCAAAGGGGCAACATGGCGAAAGTATTCCTTAGGAAAGATTAACCTGGGAACATGGCTTAGAAAGTGGATTGAAGGTCATGGGGCCTGGAGTCAAGAAGGAGGTAAGATAAAACGGTATTAAAATTAAGGAACAAAGTCTTGAGGGCCTGGACTAAGTTGATAATAGTGAGAATAAGGAGGAAGGGACCCCTGGAGAGATATTTTGTAGAGCAAATCAAGTAGGACTGGGTGAGAGTCTAGATGTTAAGATAAAGTAAAGGGGTGAACCAAGAGCAATGACAACCTAGGTTGTCAGGAAGAATGTGGTGCCCATTGTTGGGGTCAGGGAAGCTGGAATGGGGAGCTCTTTGGGGAAGAAGAGCAATGCGGTTTTAGGTGTGTGATGTTTTCTGTGACAGTGGTCATCTGAAGTCTTTTCTCAGGAAAACGAGACAAGCACACCAGAAGGATCAGGCTCGCGTAGTTGAGACATGGGACACATGCAACAGTAGATGGCGAGATGTGGGGGAGGCAGCAGCATACGGATGGTGATAGTTCAGAATGATGATTTGGGTAAATGAGTAGATGAGTTTTCTAAGGGCGGGTGAAATATTACACCACTAACGGAAGTCACAAGGCATCAAAATATTTTACTTATTTTAAAAAGATTTAGAAGAGAGAAGTGTATTAAATTAATAGTCTATGCACATATGAATTTGCTATGTAAATTGGTAGTAAATAAGATAGCTATCATGTGCTTTACCAGATTCCTTAAGAATTAATCATAAGCGTTTATAAGGGTGAAATTATGTCTGCTATAGCAAGCAGTAAACCAAAATGGCAAACTTGTTTTAGTTGCTCAGCTATGATTTTTTTTATATGAAGCAACAAACAGGTCTTCTGTGTTATAAACAAAGATGATTAGTGTGGCTCTAGATCTTATTAAAATAGTGATAATTGTCCAAGTAGTAGTTTCTGATGATAATCCTTTTCACTAAGTTCTATTTTCAAGTTGGTTTCAACTGCCTAGTGCAAAAATTTTACTATTGATGAGGATCCTGTCCGTCCTGACCAGTGGTGCTTCCTTTTTTTCAGGTGGTGTGACAAGGATGACTGTCTCCCTGGTGGTTATTGTTTTTGAGCTTACTGGTGGCTTGGAATATATCGTTCCCCTGATGGCTGCAGTAATGACCAGTAAATGGGTTGGAGATGCCTTTGGTAGGGAAGGCATTTATGAGGCGCACATCCGGTTAAATGGATACCCTTTCTTGGATGCAAAAGAAGAATTCACTCATACCACTCTGGCTGCTGATGTCATGAGACCTCGAAGGAATGATCCTCCGTTAGCTGTCCTGACACAGGACAACATGACAGTGGATGACATAGAAAACATGATTAATGAAACCAGCTACAATGGCTTTCCTGTTATAATGTCAAAAGAATCTCAGAGATTGGTGGGATTTGCTCTCAGAAGAGACCTAACAATTGCAATAGGTACCTTTTTAAAAAATACACATACAAACACACACACACATACCCCTATGTGTATCAGTATCTATATGTCCAGGCAGAGAGATACAGAGATATAATAGATTTCTGGAAGAAACGGAAGCAGTAAAATCTAGCTGGTTGTGTTTGTGGGGTCAGGGCATGTATTTTATGTCCCTTAAAGTCTTATGTTTTCTAGGAAAGGAGTTTGTGCTTGTGTGGGTTCTGCTAAATATAGTTTTGTCTTTTGATTTGGCATTGTTATCAGAGAATGGAGTCAGATTCCTCTTTTCCCACTCAGATAAGCCTTGTTAAGTTGATACTGTTCCTAATAGCATACAATATAAGGCCTAGCAAGCACCAGGGCATCCTGCTGAATACATTCTTGTAGTTAATAAAGCTGGCTGATTTGAATGCAAATTATTGAAAATCCCATCTTCATTGGTCTGTTTCATATCAAGTTCACAAGATTTTGCTTTTTTAGTTTTTGGATTTAGGTTTACAATGTTATCTTGTAATGTCTAGTTTAAAGTGAAGCCCTTGAAAGTATATTAACACAAACAGGAAACACAACATAAAAATTTAGGAGGAAAAAAATGACAGATAATATTGTATTAAAAATTGGAGGTAAAATTCATATTTACTTTAGGAAACTTTATGTTAGAAAAGAACCATTCCCATTCTCTGGAAATGTAACTCTTGTGTCTGCGTGCTCACTTTAAAAAAAAGAATCATCAGAAAATGAAAACTATGATGATGTTTTCTGCTTCAGAGTTCTTTGAATGACATTTAAAAATTTTTTTTCAAAAAAACAGAACAAATGCTAACAAATGGCCCTTCTTGCACTTAATAAATGATGCTTGTTAAAATAGTTACTGCATTCATATAAAGGTGATCGTCTTAAAATGACAAATTTAACTCAGAGAGGATAGGTGTATAGCAAATAAATGTTCTAATAAATAAATAAATTAGGTTAACATTTTTCTAAACTTTTCTAAAATTGTTTTATCAGTAAGTGCTTAATGTCTCAGCATATTTTCATTGATGATATAACATGTATATTTTAAGGTATTTAAGATTGATTGGAGTTACTTTTAACTCAGTGTCCATTGTACATGCTAACAGTACTTAGACTCCACCATTCCAGGTCATTAGCTAGATGCTTCTATGGGCTAAAAGCAACCTAGCAAGCATGTTTCAAAAATCACTTAAGTCATTTGCTAGTGAACTTCCTTCTTTTCTGTGCTTTTGTCATGCTTTTAAGGTGGCTTAGTAAGTTCTAACCATTAGATCTTTACTTTGTGCCTTCCTACTTGAATGCGTTACAACAATCAAATAAGGCTTTAATGGTCAGGAGTAAAAAGCATCGCCATATGTGTTAAGGACCTATATGTTTATCTGCTTCCTAGCTTAGGACTGATGCTTATTATTTTGGCTTAAATATTTTTGTAGCAAAATTCATGTTCAGAATATGCTCAATAATAACATATTCCATATTTGTACACACCGTTTTGAATACACACTAAAAATAGAAACTTAAAGCTGACTTTTACTTTTGCATTTTCTCCATTTAATGGGTTTCCTTCTTGTTTCTGTGGTGTCTATTCTTCCGCTGCAGTTTTCTGCACCTTTGTCACTTCCTGTCTAGCACTTTCAAAGATGGGAGTGGAAGTAGGCAGCAGGGCCTAAGCACTGGAAGCAGAGCTCAGTGGAGCGCACACAGAACCTTTACAAATAAAACCTAAAATGTCAGTCTGCGTCCATTATGGATGTAATTATAGTTGCAGCCCACCTGTTAATGCTTATGACTCACCTAAAAAATTAAACTTTAATATTAGAACGGAGAAAGAACTAGCTAATTCACAGGGACGGAGCACACAACATACAGCAAGGATGAAACTCTTTAGTCCCTCCCCTGCGGCGGGGTAAGTCACAGCACAGGCAGGCGCTATTGCATGATGGAGTCCATGTGTGCAGGCTTTAAAATGCCATATCCAGACACGCTTCCTTATCCCCCAAACTCAGAAAACACGTTCAGCCCCAGTAAAGAAAATTGTTCCGTGGTAGAATTAGACCAAAAAGAATTTAATTACATGAAGATAATTTGTCGTCAGTGAATTCTAATTCTGCCGAATATTAGAAATTGTTAAGTGACTTTTCAATCGATTCCGTTCTTGATTAAGAAGATAGGGAAAAAAATGAATGGACCGAAAGTCATGGGATACATTTATTTATTTTTTAAACAAGAAGGCCTTATTGTTTTTTTCTTTTTATTTTATTGTTTTCTTTTTATTTGTTTGTTTTAGGAGGGTCTTATTTTTTAAATAAGAAGAACCTCCAAGGAAGAAGGTTATCTTTAAAACGAAACCTATCAATTTTTAATTTTTGGTCTTCTGTATCTCTTTTCAGAAAGTGCCAGAAAAAAGCAAGAAGGTATCGTGGGCAGTTCCCGGGTGTGTTTTGCGCAGCACACCCCGTCTCTTCCGGCGGAAAGCCCGCGGCCCCTGAAGCTGCGGAGCATTCTTGACATGAGCCCTTTCACGGTGACCGATCACACCCCGATGGAGATCGTGGTCGACATTTTCCGGAAGCTGGGCCTGAGGCAGTGCCTTGTAACTCACAATGGGTAAGTCTGGCAAAGAAATCAGTTCACTTACCAGCATGTTTTATCCTTTTTAGTGGAATTCATATGCAGTTATTAGGGGAGAGTGTCATCTGCTCCCAGGCAGGCAAGTCTATCTTGTTAGGATGGTTATATTATAATAAATACCGGTTCAGGCCCTCAGATTCACACTTACCAAAGAGGAAGAAAAATGTCACCTGCCAGATCTTTGCCAAAATGTCAAGTGACATTTGTCAGGAACACTTCAGAGTTGGAAAGAGGTGCTGAGTCATCTGCCACATTCACACAGCACTTAAGAGTCTGTCCTTTCTTAGCGGAGCTGCGGACCTCACCTGTGTGGATACTGCAAAAACCTGTTTTCTTTTTGTAAGTCATTCATGTTTAGAATATGTATTTCTAGTACAGTAATAACTTTCTAGATATTTTTCTATTTACTATTTTAGCTGTAATATGAGGCAGTAACATAAAATTAAGTGAAATTTGTAAATTAGCTAAAAACCTCCTTTGTTTCCTCTTTTCTATCTTCTCCATTCACAAATCTTTTACATAAACTGCTAATGGCAAATGAATACTCATGTATTTAAAATGTATAAATTGAGTCATTGATTTGTCTGCCCTTTACACATAAACTGCCAGTGTTTCCCCATGATAGGAATGTAGGGAAGTTTTGTTTGGCTGATGTCATAGGTTCTGTGGGGACATGATACACAGGATCCTGGCAAACATACTCCTTCATTGCCCACCCCGCTCTGTTCCTGGACCTGGGATCTGTGTCCTCACCTGTGTTCTCTCTCTCTCTTTCTCTCTTTCTCGTCTCCTTTTTCCATTATATTGTGTTGTTGAAAAAGTCATGATGCATTTTTGCAACGAAAAACATGGAAAAAATACGTCATGACTTTTCCGACAACCCAACATTACTGTTCCTAGTTGAAATACTTAAGAGTGTTGTTTTTTTTTTTACCTCAAGGCTGACCACAGAAAGTCTAGAAATGAGAAATAAAGGGTGTTCTTGGATAGAACACTGCGTGCACAGTGTGAAGCTGGTTGAAACACTAAGCACTTAGAGAATATAGCGGGTTTTTTTAAGACAACATTTTGTACAAAACACATGACCCCTGTCTCGAGAAAGGAGGAAGAAAGAGCAAAAAGGAAGGAAATGTGTTTATTGAACACCTTCTTCACTTTTACCATTCAACTTCTCAGCCCAGCTGCAGAGGAGGTGGCAGTATCCTGCCTTTACAGATTAGTAATTGAGCTCAAAAAGGTTTCATCCTTTGCCCAGTTAACGAGGTCAGCAAGTCACAACACCTTGCTACTGTTTTACACAGTAACTGACTGATAGAATATGTCTTTTTTCCTTTGTGATTTCTTTAACTACTGTTTTCTTAGACAATGTATTAGACTGTATTGGGTTAGACATCTAAAGCTAGAGAATTTCACCTATGTTTAGTGTTTTCACTGTGCTAACCCGTTACATAACTCTAGGTAATAGGAAATAAATCATTAAAGGGATAAAGCTCTTGATTCAGGGCAGGAAGTTTGGAGTTATTAAATATCACAGATATTGATTGGAGATGTATGTAGTAAAATAACTTTTCTTTAGCTTAATGTTTAATTGAAAAAAATAATGGTACCACACTTCATGTTTAAAAACTTAGTAAGTGCCTGTTAAGTGGAGTCATGTTTCATAAAGCGTTATACCGGTTCTTGGGCCCTTTTCATTATGAATGGCTCAGTTGGAAGCTAAGCTGAGTTGTTATAAACTTTCACTTGCTTTGCGTTGTTCTCTGTGTCTGGCATGGTTTGTCCTTGTATGTACTACCAAATATAAATGTCACTCTCTAGTCTGATTAACTGTGATCACAAAGCTATATGGGTTAATGACCATATTTCACTTCGCTGATTAATTCCCAGGTTTTCAGCAGCACAGGTATTGGAAAGGAAAACATTTAACGGAAAGTAAAAATAATGAAGTGTGGGGCAGGGTAGGAAGGAGAGTTAATTAAAATCTTACCTGATACTGCCTGTTTATAAGAAAGCTTGGGGTAGGGGGTGGCTCTTTCGAAAGGAACATGTTTAAGTGCCTTGATTATATTTTCCTTATTTCTGTCTTACAAGGAAAATAATGGATATAGAAAGAGAAGAAATCAATTGGGGTGGTGGCTCTTGCGACATTTTCTTTGAAGTATGTAAGGAAGTAGAGTGTTTTATTCTCACTTACAGTTAAATGATTTAAACCCAGAAAATAAATCATATCTTCAAGTTTTTAGTATAGAGTATGATGTTTTGGACAATTGCTAATATTGTATAGTTTATGCTGGGTCCTTGGAGGTGGAAAATAACTATTTGGGAGAAGAGATGTAACAAATCTAGTACCTTGGATGCAAATAAAAAATGAGAACAGAGAGATGAGGGGAGAAGTGTGTCTGTTAATTTTAAAGGTGTCAGTTATAGATGTCTCACATTATTATTTTAATAGCATTTCTCAAAAATTTTAAGTTCTTGATGGGACTAGCAGGATGTTAATAGGCATTGCCCAAAAAGAGTTTTGTGATCATATAAGTTAGGAAAGCAGATTACATACAACAGTTTTCTCCACTGTGGAACTTTCTCAGAACAAATTATTGATATTATTTGATTCTCAAATGGGATAAACTTATTTGGATATGAAGCCTTCTTTTGATGGAAGGAACGGGTCAGTACTCCTCGGACTGGTGTTTCTTGGAACGTACTTTGGGAAAATGCTGGGTCACGCACTGTTTGTTAGCCCACAAGGAAACAGCAGATTGTTATTTACATTAGTCACATTCACATTGATTTTCCTTGCACTTCCTGAAGTTAACAAAGAAGCACTGAACCTGGCCTTATTATTCTCAAATCACTTTTCTCCATTAACTGAAGAGAGGAAATATATTTATTTCCTCTTTTTTAGGGCTGTTATTTTGTACATATAAACATTACTTTGTAAATCACTAAACTTGCCATTTGGTTCTTAAAAAAATTGTAACTTTTTTCTCATTGTGTACCATGTGATTTGGCAGAGCTTACTAATATATTAACTGAAATTAATCATTGTTTATAATTGGATAGAAGAGAATAAGTAAGAATTAGACTGGAATTATTTTAATTGTCAAGATTTTCACATTTCCTAACTCCAACTATAAATTCAAGTGTGAATTGATGAGTTTTTTGTTGTTGTTGATCTGACCTCAAACATTTAGTCAGGGAACATTTATTGAGTGATTGAGTGCTTATTTTATGTAGTGCTGTATCTGAGATTTTTTGGAGGGGGTACTTGCTCCCATGCTCTGAGAGCTTTTCAGTTTATCTTTGTTCTTAATGATCAGTACACTACTTTTAAAAAATAATGAGAAAACATTAGCAGAGAACCTGTTTATGCCTGTCCCATCCCTACCCTCCTTGCTTCCCCACCTCTCACCCTAAGTAACTATTTTATAGCTGACATATCTGTAGGACCAAACTGCTTTGACTCAGTGAACTCCCCTGGTGACGTTCTCCTTCAGAGAAGTCAGAGTGTTCAAAGGCAGTTGAACAGTAAAGCTGACTTAACTTGATCACCAGGGAAATGTTCAATTATCCGAAGGGCATTCCGGATGGGCTTCCAGAATTTAAAGATTAAAGTTGTTTTAAGGTTTTTGACATTCACTGTCTATATTGCCATGTATTGTAGTTAAATTCATTGGCTTCCCTTATAAAACCAGTAACCATAATTTTGTTTTAATAATTAAAAGTTTAATTATTTTCAAGTATGCTCGTGAGAATTTCTGTTCATTATTTTGCTTGATGTTATAATAATGTGTTAACTGAGAAATAATCATTATTTAGAAAAAAATGCATAAAGTAAAAGTCATGCTGACCCCTAATCATAAATACAGCTTATCAGCTTATTTTAAGAGGTAGCATTCGGCGGGTCCTGAAAATTAGGGGGTGTTTGTATTGGTTGGCATTTTTATTTAGTGCACGTTGCCTTTAATTTTAATTCCAAATAATAGTAAAATCCAAGGGATTTCTTAAGTCTCCTCACAGGCAATACAGGCTGAGCGTTCCCCTGCCTTTTCACTGCTGAGGCAGATCCAAGTAATAGCTGCTGCACTGTGACACTTCAGATATTAGAAACATATTTTCCACAGAGGAAGGAACAGAGCAAATGAAACTAAATTTCAGAATTTTATAGTTGTGTATTAATATTTTTTTGTACTTTTCTTTGTAGTCATCATCTTCATTGTGAACTTTTTTTTAATTTTGATTTTTAATTTAAAAAGGAAAACAACCCACCAATGTTTTAAAATAGTATCACTTTTGAAAGGCAGTGGAATTTATACAAATGGGACCTGGGATTTTAAATCATTTTTGTTTCTATTTTTATGAAATTCGTTGAAAGCATTCTTATGGTTCATGTTTTTGTTTTTTTCCCTCTGTCATTCTTTATTATTATTGGAACCTCTTTTCATTTAAGTTCTCACGGTTATTAGCATAACATGATCTGTTTCAGGATTGTCTTGGGGATCATCACAAAGAAGAACATATTAGAGCATCTCGAGCAACTAAAGCAGCACGTCGAACCCTTGGTGATTAGATATATCAGATCTCCTCCTTAGACACCTTAGCAGTCAGGAAGCATGAAACTTGTGAACTGTTCAGTTCTCTCTTTCCCAGATACCTGCTAACAAAAAAACCCTACATGCTGCCCATTACTTTTATATCTCATAATATGTCTGTAAGAAAAATTTAGATACGTGTAAAATTCCATTCATAGGAAGCAAGCAAAAGTTAGCATCTCGCATCACAATCATTAGTTGCAATTTAAGAATTGTGTAGGGTTTGGTAGTTGAATGAGTATATATTATTGGACATTTTTTGAGTAAACACCATAAATCTGTCTATTTTAGTGGTTACACCGGTCTCAGAAGACACCTAACTGATTAAACATGTCTACCCTGTCACCCCAAACTGCCCCCCCCTTTTTTTAATGTTTCCTAATGTTATGGTAAATCGAAGCTCATCGATGATTTTAACTGAGCTTAGCAGTGTTAGAATTGCTGACAGTTAAATGGATTATTTTTATGGCCACACTAACTAGAGCATAATGTGTACATATATATATATATATATATATATATATATATATATATATATATATATATATATATATATATATGTGATCATAGCATTAGTTCTTTTTCTGCTATACCCTGCATACTTTCAAAGTCCATAATGTGTGTCTTCCCATTTCATTAGTGAATTGTGCCTAGAATATGTGTGTGCCCCTTTTGTATGATGCTTCTAGAATGCTGTAAGCAGCTCTTAGGCTCAGATTTGTTTTTAACTGGCTTTATGTCCTAGCGGTTTCATGACTAAAGATAAATTTTGAATTACCTTACCTTATAACCTAAAAATCGTCTGGCTCTAGCAATTAATGCCTGAAACCATTTTGCCCTGCAATTGTCATCCCTATATAAAATCTTTCCCAGTTTGTTTAGTACACAACTGATTTTGTATTCCTGTTGTATGCTAATATTTCACAAGTATTTCATGCATCCTTTTTTTTAAAAAAAAAACTAACCAGTATACTAAGGAGCTACTCATCCATTCTGCTTTGTGCTTCACCTGTAATCTTTTAGCACTGCTTCTTGATTTTTCATCTGTCTTTTAATGTAAGCACTAACAATGAAGACTTTCATAAAAGCACTGTTATCACTTTCATAAAAGCACTTTTTGGGCTAAAATAAAAAAAGGAAAACATTAATAAGTATCCTAGAAACTTGGGCTGTCTTATAGTTTATTCTGGGGATTCTGAAGCTGGGGATTGAAGCTCTGTGTTGACTACTTTATCTCAGTTGAATGTGCTTTCATGAAGATTCCACATACAACTGGGCAATCCCTAAATTATTTTTTAAAAGTTAATTTTGGTTTTAAAAAGTGGGCTATTGACAGGATTTGGTCATCAGACATTTTACTGATTTCTTGATGTGATGGGACTGGATTTTTCTTCTCAAATGGGATCTGTATCATTTCTTGTTCATACATGCTCCCATTTTTGTGTTACTTTTTTGTTGGCATACATTGATCAAAATAGCTCTACTTCCGTGAGAGTCTCAGTGGAAAGGACATGGTACTATTAGTGACCACCATACTTCTTATATCAAAAGATTGTTGCTGGATAATTTATCTTTATCAGTAAAGTATTTTTTGAAAATACAAAATCAGGCTGCTTGCTTTGCTCTATTCCTGTCAACAAAAAGGATTTAGCTATCAATTTAGCTTCTCTTTTTTCTTTTCCCTTTCATTTTAATAGCAGTTTTCTGTTTATCCCTTTCAGGCGCCTCCTTGGCATCATAACAAAAAAAGATATCCTCCGTCATATGGCCCAGACGGCAAACCAAGACCCCGCTTCCGTAATGTTCAATTGAGTCCCGTAGATGAGGAGAGAGAGGAGGCGGAAGAGGAAGTTCGTTTGTTGAATAGCACAACTCTGTAACCTGAGAGAGTCGTCTACTTATTTTTCTCCTGTAAAAAAAAGAAAGAAAGAAAGAAAGAAAGAAATGTAAAAGCCAGGCTTTTGCAACATGGTTTGCAAATAATGCTGGTGGAATGGAGGAGTCGTTGGAGGGGCGAAAGGAGTGCCCTGTTTCCCCCTCAACTGAGAGCAGCCAGTCAGCTCCTGCTGTTCTGCACTGGATGTGTTCAGCCACTGACGGACGGACACGCGTGATAGTGCAGGCCTGAGCCTCAGAGGAGAGGACCCGCGGGGAGCACCTGGCCTGCAACTCCAACATCGCCAAGACGTGTCATCCGTCCCTGTTTCTGGAGGGATTACTTTGAATTGAGCCATCTCTAAGACTGCAAGGTTCTTGCCCTTTTTTAAAATCAAAACTGTTATGTTTAATTCATGAATTGTATAGTTAAGCATTACCTTTCTACATTCCAGAAGAGCTTTTATTCCCTTTTCTCACTCACTCACTCACTCACTCACTCTCTTTCTCTGTAACAAAGCCTCTTTAAATTGGTGTACCCTTTTGAAGCAGTCCTTTCTCATATTGAGATGTACTGTGATTTTACTGAGGTTTCATTACAAGAAGGGAGCGTTTCTTGTGCCATTAACCATGTAGTTTGTACCATCGCTAAACGCTGGGGGCAGCACGTGCACACAGGCTGAGCAAACAGGTCAAGTCTCAAATGAAGTGTGTGTGCTGTGTGGCTCAGACTCGACAAGGAAACTTGACTTAGGATAAACAGCTTTCTTTTTGTTTGTTTTTTTCCTCTCAGACTTTATGGATAATGTTACCTGGTCTTATGCATATTTTCTATTTCTAAAACTACTATGATATACAAGTAGTGTTCAGCATAAGGAAATAATGCTGATGCTTTGACAGTAAAGAGAAGGAAGTATTCTGTTTAGCTATATCTGGTATTAATTGCATGTTTAAACACTGGAATTTTTTTTCTTGAAATTAGATCAGTCATTTTTTTTGTTTGTTTCCCCAATATATTTTACTGCTGACACTGAAGAAGAAATGTAATTCATAACTTGCACTAAATGTATACTTCTTTTCTTAAAAATCTACCATTCTTATTTATATTTTTATGGATTAAAGTTTATAAAATACAGATCAGTTAATATCTCACTTAAATAATTTTACCTTTTTAATGTGATTTTTATAGACTAATTCAGACTTACAAATATGGAGATATGAACAAAGTTTACAATGGGAACAGGGGGTTAAAAGAGGCTGTGGTTATTTCTCTGTGATCCAGTGTGTACATAAGCCTGTTTCTGATCTTTCACTGCCATCCCCTGGATTATGTCTTCTGACCTGTCCATTTTGACTCATTAACTGGAAAGTTGAAACACTGCAAATCATTTTGCAGATTAAAAACAATAAATAGTGTTAACCATTTAAAAAAAATCAAATGGAAACAATAAAATTGCAAAGGTAGTTAAAATTTTAATCTGAACATAACCTTTGAAATCTTGGGATATGTCACATCCTTAAGTGCTTGATGATGTTTTGACTTCACAGTATACATTTTTGCAGGATGGGTTTCAAATGTACTGGGGTTGCTTTGGGATTTTTGTTTTTGGAAATGTCTGTCCTAATCATGGTCTTCATTCTGACAAAGGCAGTGTACCTGAAGGACTGGCCTCAGTGTTCTGTGATTATGCATTTTTGGTAGGAAAATGAATTTTTGCAGACAGGCATTTTCTGAAACACAGCTGGCAATGAGCCGTTTTTACATTTTGGAAGTGATTGTTCACTTCATAGTTCTTAATATTTCTGTAAGGTCTGTAAGATCACACAGGATCTGTAGGATCTTAAAGATTTATAAGATCATGAAGCCATATTAGAATGACAGTTGAAAGTTGAGCAGAATTTTAGGAATTTCGTGAAACATTCTGAGTTTTGCTATCTGCCTAAAATTAGTTGTTTCGTTCTATTTATTTTCCCCCATTGGCAGACTTCACATTTTCTTTCTATTTTTTTTTTTTTAGCTGAGCCATCCTGCTACCTGTTGGCAGCTCAGCGGCTGCTCAGCTCAGGCTAGACTCGAGCCGCTGTTGCTCAGAGCTCAAACTCTTGAGCAAGCTCTTAACCAACTGAGCCACTCGGCCAGCCCCCCAGACTTCACATTTTCTTAATGGCCCCTTCAAAGTTTATTTGGCCACTCAGTGAAATCATTTCTAAATAATGTTTCTGTATATCTTATCTCCAGCTTGTGTTGTGTATTTCAGTTGTACAAATACACTGTTAGAGTATGAATTCCTCAGCACTGGCTAATGAATAAATTGCTTGTCCTCAGTTACAAGCCGTCAAAGAGCAACAAGTTTCTTTGCAGAAAGATTCATAACATTAAACTTCATGTGGATTTCGTTTTTCATGTTTCCTTTTTGATTTCAGGTCCTCCTTTCATTGCCCATCCTGCCTCAGAGACTGACATTTCAGGGTGGATATTTGAGGCGGATATTAATTTTCTTCTTGGTAAATTTTATCCCTGATGTGTCTTACTGCTGAAACAACAGGAAAAGTGCCGTATTTTTATGCACCCAGTGGTTCTTTTTGGTATTGCTATCCGTTCCACTTTTCTTTTTGATACATTGAGGTTTATCTGCTTTTTAACCTGTGAAATAGTGGAGACCATGAAATATATGTGCCTGGCTAATTGGAAATCTAATTTACCAATATAATAAGTGGAGCACCTTGAGTACCCTTTTTTGAGAAGGCATGATGGGAATGGGCAAAGGTGTCAGCATCTCGTATCAATAATTGTTTTTTTCAGTTTTGGTTCATGAAGAATGCTTAGTTTGTTAATCTGTGATGTTGCCTAGAGCTGTATTTATCTGTTTTTATTTATACTAGTGTAGTAAAGCTGCATATCATTACAGTAAAAATGATTACTGTGATGAGTTAATCAGAATATCTATTAAAATCTATATGACAATATGTGGTTTGGCCTTTAATTATATCTGTAAGTCTTCCCGCTTTTACTGCTGCTCTGTGCAGGGTAGGCCAATACCCCTGGTACCATGCAGCCTCAGAGGGTGATATATATATATAAAGCTTCTCTCCAGTGACAAAGGCATTGCTGTACTTTGCAAGCAAGGAACAAAAGACTCGATGCTGGATTCAACAGAATGTACATACTACTAGCAATAGTATAGTCTCCACTTGTCAGTGAAGGCTGCAGGTTTGCAGAAAGATTTCAGTTTACTTCCAAAAACATGTTTGGTTTTTTTAAATGTTATTTGCATGAAGAGAAAATGTGTGATTACATGCTTTGTTTTGTTTTTTATTTTACCTTGTAAATTTGCTAAAAGAATTGCTTAAAAGGAGGTGGGTGTTAACATCTGAATTGCTAAAAGATTTCAGTAATTGAATATTAAACTTTTAGTGAAAAGGAAAACACTTTACTAGAAATTCCAGGATAGATCTTTTATCATTCATTTCATTTGATCATTCACTAAGTATGTATTGAACACTTGCTGTATGCTGGGCATTCTGTATTCTCGAAGCTTACATTCCAGTAGGGAGACAGATGGTGATAAATATCACAAAGTAATTGGTTCAGCAAATTAAAAAAAAAGTGATTCCTATGCGCCGTACATTGTTAGAGGCAAACACACATCAGACAAAAATTCTCGGGGAGAAAAGTAATGGGGAAGATGCTATTTTTAGAGGGTGATCAAGGAAAGCCTCAGGGATAAGGTGACACATGAGCAGAAACTAAGGGAAGTGAAAGAATCATGCTGTTATCTGAGAATGTTCCAAGAGGAGGAAATAATATAGGCCAACATAATAATATAGGTGTAGGATATGCCTGACAAGTATGAGGAACACCAATTAGGTCACTGTGGCTGGAGGGGAAAAGGGGCATAAAATGAGGTTGGGGGTATAAGAGTGTGGCTTTTTTCTGAATAAAATAGAAAGCCAGTGAGGCAGAAAGCGACGTGACCTGACTTAGCATGGTCTCTCTGGCAGCTTTGTTGGGAGCAGACTATAAGGGGGCAGGGGTGGAAGCAGGAAGACCACTTAGAAGGCTACTGGGATCGTCCAGGTAAGTTATGATAGAGGCTTGAATCCGACTGGAACTGGTGGAGGTGGTTGCAGTGGTTGGATAGTAGACATTTTGAAGGTGGAACAGGCAGGATCTTGCTCATGGGTTGAATAAGAGTAAAGGTGTTTGGCCTGAGCAACTACAGAAAAATGGAATGGCTACTGAATGAACTGGAAAAGACTTCAGGAAGAATAGATTGGGGCTGTGTACGGAGGAATTTTGTTTTAAACTTTATTTTTTATTGGGGAACAGTGTTTTTTTTCCAGGACCCATCAGCTCCAAGTCAAGTAGTTGTTTCAATCTATTGGGTTGTTGGAAAAGTCGTGATGCATTTTTGCAATGAAAAACAGAAAAAATACGTCATGACTTTTCCAACAACCCAGTAGTTGTGGAGGGCACAGCTCAGTGGCCCATGTGGGGGTCAAACCAGCAACCTTGGTGTCATGAGCACTGTGCTCTAACCACCCAAGTTAACTGGCTGCTCCAAGGAATTTTGGTTTTAAACAAGTTTTAAATGCCTTTTAGACTTCCAAATGGGGATGTCAAGTAGGCAGTAGTATATGAGTATATTAGACTCGCGTTCAGCAGAAACTCAGGAGTCCAGTTCTTTAGCCTCATCTACAAAGTTTGATATTTTGCATTTCATTGGTTTGCTCTGTTTTTAAGGTGAAGGACATTTTGTCATGTGTGAGAAGCTGAATCTGGTAAAACACAGGTATCCACAGATTTGTACTGGATAGCCAATGAAGTAATTTGCAATGGAAAATTAAAATATAATGGTATATTGATTAATATACTGTATTATTCTATATATCAATATACTATGTTATATTGGTTTTAAATACTGAGTCAAAGAACTGTTTTAAAGAATATTCCTAATGGGATAACTGGACTACTTGTGGGAAGAATACCTATGAATCACCAGGAGATAGTTAAAATGCAGCTGTGAAGTCTGGGATGAGGCATTCTGGGAGGGTGCAGGGTACAGGATCATGAGATGCCTTCCCCACCCCCATAAATCCCATCCTTAGAGCTGCAGCTTTAACTCACGTCTCAGAAATAAATTCTTAGTTGCCCATGTGAAATACTGAGAGGACTCCCTGCGAGAAGCTAGTCTAGCTACCCGCAGGCATCAGGCAGTGACTTCCTGCGACATGTTAAGAGGACGACTTTATTTCAGATGTGATGAGGACTGCACCATGTAGATGATTTGACTGCCACTTATTTGCACATGAAAAAACCAGGCCAGAAGACAGAAAAGCTTTAGTAAATGTTTCCATCCGTTTATTTTATATATTCGTTTAAAAAAAAGTCACAAGCTTAATACTAATGCTTTAAAATACTGTACACCACAGAAAGCCAACTCTCACTCATGCTGCAAGTTGGTCTATGTTCTCTTTACTTCTGTTTGCCAAATGATCTTCAATAATTTCTGCAAAGAGATTCCTCTTCAGCAGATTATATGCAAGAGGTAAAAGCTGGCCAGCAACTTTATGAAAGTACTGAAAAATAAAAAAAACATTAAGCAGAGAATACAGCAGATGCCCTAGGAAGTAACAGACAACATTGAAAAAGCACTTATGTAACAAAGCGCACTCCCAAATCATTTTAGCTACTTTCTCAATTGATTAGGACAGTGAATTCTGAGACAGACACCTGACATTCTGTCCAAGGGGCGATCAGGTAGCTCTAAAACTGATGGTATATATCGCGAAGCAAACTCAGAAGAAAACCAAGTTAAAAATTTAGGATTCCCCACTCCCTTTTTTTGCTCCAAACTAATACCCAAATGCTTTTTCTTTCTCTTCAGTGTATCCCCACCAGTTAATATTTTAATCATTATTTTCCTTAGTTAAGACTGTAAGAATAGGTTGCTGAATGTGAGTTTTCAAAGCACTCCTCTTTATCTTAAAATTCCTTCTCCCCCACCACTGTGTCACCCCTCCATCCCTTAAGTCACTGCCTTAGGTTTATCAAGTGACTTAGACTTCTGCTATTGCATATACAGAAGAAAAACTGGCAATGCTTTTGTTGATGATAAACATTTATAAGCACTTACTATACACTAAATACTGTGCTAATAAACCTTTTCCTATACTCTTATGTTATTTAATTCTCAGAACAATCCTGTTTTCTATGAAGCTGGTTCATATTTTCTGGCAAGCCAAGCAACATTTTTTTTTATTGTGAAATACACATTTTTAAAAATTAGTTTCAGCTGTGCAACACAGTGCAATAGTTATACTTTTTACCTCTCGAAGTGACAACCCCTCTCCCCCAATCCGCCGCCCCACTTCCCCCCACAATATCATACATATCTATTAAAATTCCCTTGACTCCACTCCCACACTATACTCCACATCCCATGACTATATATATATTCACTTATAGTTGACATACAATACTATACAACATCAGCTTCAAGTGTGCAGTGCAGTGATCAAGCCTCTACCCCATCCATGAAGCGGTCTCCCTAACAAGACATGTGACCATCTGACACCCTACAAAACATTTACAACATCCAAGCAACATTCTTGTTGGTCAAGGACTATCATTCTGGCTGTTAAAACGTTTTTTTATTTTTACTGAGAACTATGTGAGAAAGGCAGTAACGTGGTTTAGAGCAGAATGCTCAAATTAAGACTCCCCTGACCCGTGACTGGGTTAACTTGTCAGAAGTGCGAATTCTCAGGACCCACCCACAAGTTCAGTCCGACTTGGGGTGGGGGTGCAGTGGACCCATCTGTGTTTGGACAGCCCTCTGTGTGCCTCTGATGCGTGCTAAATTAGGAAGATGCTGGGCTAGTCTTGCTCCTCAGAGCAGCAGCATTACCTTCCCCTGGGAGCGGGTCAAAAATGCAGTGACGCAGGCCTCACTCCAGGTCCTCTGAAACGGTTTTCATTTTCACAGTATCTCCGAGTGAGTTCTATGCACTTTTACTGAGTTAGACACATAGGCTCTAGAACCAGGCTGCCTGTGGGACCCTGAGCAAGATGGTTTACCTCTCTGTGCTTCGTAGGTGACATTATAGGTTAAAAGAGAAGTAAATGGTCTGTGTGCAAGTATGCAGACACTATAGGCAAGGAGACCACAACGGTGTTGGAAGAAGTACCCAATGTTACACAGCTTTTTAGTGGGGAAAACGTGATTTAAAACCAAACGGTTTAGCCCTAAAAACCCACTGTACCCACTACGCCCTACTGCCTATTTGACTGCAGGAACTACAGTTAAGTAAGCACTGACTTAATGGGAAGGTAGGTTTTTCCTATTTAATGAGCAAATAGCTAATAATAAAATAGCATCTCATATATTTTACATAATTTAGTGCAAAGCCTATTTTAAAATAGTATTTGTTCTTCATCTAGGAATTCAAACAAGAACAAATACCCACCCCTAGCACCACAATAGAAAACAAAATGGATGCACACACAGGTGTGTGTGCATCCCCATATACATGCACATCCCGGTAATACCTCTAGTAAGTCAATTCACTTCCCTGTAAACCTGAAGGCAGATATCTTGGTTTATTCCCCTTTGCCAGAATATAAGATGAACTTCAAATAAATATTTTTAGAATATCTGCTTTAAAATCACTTCAAAAGTTCCTGTGGAAATACATATCCCACCTATGCTAGGACTTGGGGATGTAATGTGCCCGCATGAGTATGGGTGGAGAGGAGGGAGGCTTGGTGGTTTTATTACTCACGTGTGAGCCATAACAAAAGAGGTCCATTCCCAACTCAAGTCCCATGCCATAATCACATTCGTCATTAGCAAACTGCACAAACGTCACCATTTCCTGGATGGGAGCAAAAGCTTTCAGTCTCTCCTCATCATTTGGTGCCTCAACAATTGTCTTGCAAATTCTCTTGAGGTTGGCTGAAAGAAATCAATGATATTAAAAGATGATCTATAACTGTCTTTAAAGAAAAAAAGACTAAAATCTGGGGTTTTTCCTCATAGGACTTTTCAACACAACTGATGTACACTTGGGTGGCACTCTAATTTAGAACAGCAATATTACAATTTTTCTACTTAAGATACAAGCATAAAAATGGCTTAAAGTGATTTCTTGTATTAGCAAAGTGTGACTGATTCAAAGTGGAGCTAGTTGCAATGATTTTATTAAGTTTTCAACCATGTGTAGTAGGCTATTCCAGGGATTGGCCAACGATGGCCAGGCCTGGCCCACCTCCTGTTTTTAACTGCTCAAGCTAAGAATGTTTTTCCAGTGTTAAATGCTTGGGAAAAAAACAAAACAATGTAGCAACAGATCATATGTAGCCCACCCCTGGGCTAGTCTGGATTAGGAGCTGGATTTTTTTTTTTTTAAAGAATCCAAATAGACAAAGTTTGCTTCTTTTCTCCTGTCCTACCTTATTTAAAAAAAAAAAAAAAAGACAATATAACGTAAGAACTCACTGCAGAATTAAACCTTTACCAAAATGGGGGAAGTGCGGCCATGAATTTGAGGTAAGAACATAGAGAAAAATTCTAACGTTGATCTAAAAAAAAAGAATAGTGGTTTTAACGTTTTTATATTGGCTTTCAACATTTCACTACTTTCTAGATGCCAATGTGCATCAGATCTCAGGATGCATATGAGAATGAAGGTATCTAATTAGACTTCCTTTTTGACAAATCATACCTCCTTGAGGATATGCCAGGAGTGACAAGAATGAATATTACTCAAACCAACAAAACACATCTTTAAACAAAGTAGCTATTATACTGGAGAGACAAGGATTGGTTTAAACCTTAATAATCACACCTAAGAATGATACGTGATATGTATGAGGTACAATATTCTATTAATATTAACTACAAATATAAGGTATAAGGATTATCAAGGGTGGTAAAGATACATTAGGGCTTTTCACTTCGGAATATGAATATGGTATTAGTTGTGATCTGCTGAATGCTGTCACAGTAACAAACTGCCAATCAATTACACCTCCATGCAAACAGCTCTAGGAAGGAGCAAGATGGTATCAGGTCCTTAACTTTGTATTGCTGGCACTTCTCATTAAAAAATAATGCAACCACAGAAGGATCTACTATGTAGGATGTTAGAAAAAAGTAAAGATAAAAACCCCAGAACCACAACCAGGACAGAATAACAGAGTTTATTCGGGGGCACTACAATTTAATACCCCCATCCCTGAAGTTTTAGGGACTGCTGTTTCTGTAACAAATGTTCTCAACCTTTCCCAAACAAGACAGTAATTCTGCTCGTTAAAGCTTCCAATGGACGAGCGCGCAGAGGTGGGAGAGAGCATCAGCAGAAGCCTGAACAGGAAGGACAACAGCTCGTGCCTCCCTCATCACAAACTGATTACCTCTGCCCTCAGGGAGCTGTGGGGCACTGGGACAGATAATGCCAACAAATATAATACAGGCAAATGTAACGACTTTTCCTCCTATCCATATTACAAGCTATGTGAAACTAACATTTAATTTAATCCAACTATCCGAAATAGTATCATTTTAACATGCAATATAAAAAATTTTACACTTTCAGTTTTTAAATTTAAATGAATTAAAATTACAAACTTATTTCAATTATACTAGCTACATTTGAAGTGCTCAGTAGCCACATATAGCCCAGCCATATTCATTTTCGCCATGCAATTCCTCTAACATGAATCCAGCAAAAATGAGTAATTGTGATATAAAACATCTCAATCTACTGGTGAGAGACTGCACAACAAACGTCTGAGAACAGTTGCTTTAGAGAACTTGTTAAAAGTGCAGATTTCCAGGTTCCAACCCCAGAGACTAACACCCAAGGCTGGTTGGTTCTGTTCTAAAAAATGGATGGGCAATTATACATGCAGGAATACTTGGTTCTTCCTTAAGGAAGTGCTAAATTTGACTTCTAAGTTTTAACTTCTCTGAAACAGTATGATGAATAAGGGAATGTCAACAGGGACGAGAAATAAGGCAACAGGTGGGGAAGGAGTTGTGCTTTTATTATTTGCTCAACATAGAAATAATTAGATTTTGTGTATGAATAGTCCATTTTCAAAGTGTTTTTATGTTTCTAGATGAAGTAGTTCAGGACCTTAGGCTTCTGAATGTAAAGTAGTCTTACATATAAATGAAAAATTTTTCACAAAGGAATATACAGAAACATACTATTTTAATAATTACTATTTTGTATGTTACCTAATGTCAAAGGTTCTGAAATACAATAGTTCAGAAAAAGTAACCTAGGCCAATAGGTTAAAATTCCTTAAACTCTTATATAAATAACTACCATATTTTAAGCACTGTAAGTAAGGCAAGCTCTGTGCTAAGCACCTGACATGCTCTTTTACACCCCAAACATCCCTATAAATGGTAGTCACCATTATTAACCATTTTACAGATAAAGACAAGGTTTAGTGAGGTTAAATAATTTCCTTAAGGTTACAAAGCTACAAACCCAATTTTAATTCAGGTCTGACTAACGGTAAAACCTGGGCTTGCTCTTTATCACGAAGTTCTAGTGACTATCCCACAAAAGGTATATGTATACACCTACTTTTCAATATAAGGAAAACCTTCCTCTACATCATATATTAACATATATATTCATATATGTACATGTTTATGTAAGAAATACATTACCATCTGTTTCAGGGAGCTCTCTGTACCCAACATCATTTTTATCTACTGGGACAACCAAGCCTGCACCATGAAAGGTCTTTGTCACAACCTAAGTTAAAGAAAATTATAAAATTTAATCATGGTAAATCGGGACACACACACACATTTAAACCTTCAACATTTCTGTCAAAGTATAATATTCAATGACATTTTATTTCAGTAAATCTGGATGCCAGGGCAAAGCTTAGTACTTCTTTCCTTTAATAGCTAAAAGTTAAGCTCTTCAAGTAACTATAAAACAATGAAATAATTGGCTTAGGGTGTCATTTAGATGTCTGCATCCTGACTGAGGAAAGAACACCAATGCATCCTATTACAAGAGGCAAGCCAGAATATCAGTTCCCTCTAAGGTCAAAATATCTTTTAGGTAGAAAGCGTAATGAACTGGGCCTAGAAGAAGGAATGAATGATTTTTGTTAGCAGAGAGATGTGGTAGGACAGAATTCCTCTCATCCATCTTGCCAAAGTCAGGCCCACTATTTTTATCTGGAAAGTGCAGGCTTGTGTGCAAACTTCCCCAAAGCAGAGCAGTTTCTAGTTTGGTGGTTCCCTTTGTGGAGGCAAATAACAACCAGTAAGCTTTTACATAGTAATCCTCAAAGACAAAACAGACCTGACCACAACCACCATCATAACCTTTCCAGTCTGTATTCTTTTTATTCACACTAGTGACATTATTCTTATGTCTTAACATCTGCTTCAAATATTCCACTTCTTTGTGTAGTCCAGTGAAAATTCCTGGGAGAGAAGGACACAACCCCCAAAATAAACTCGATTCAAGTCCTCTCACCCAAGTTTCTACATCTTATTTTACTATAATGTCCCCACTGTCTTGCTTTCATTATCTATAATTAAGACACCAGAAGAGACATTATTCAAAATAAGTTCGCAGACAATTGCTTACCATTTGAGAAAAAAACAAATGAAGTCATAGCTATATCCTACTCTTTATGCCAAAAAAAACCTTGCAGATGGATTTCAGGATTAGATGAAAAAATAAAACCATAAAATTACTAGAAGGCAAATTTTAAAAATAATTTTGGATTAGAGAAAGAAAAGGTTTATGGGTTCAACTGCATAAGAAATCTATCAATAAATCAAGAACAAAGAAAAATTGATGAAAAATATATGCTACATATATATATAAAAACAATAAATAAAAATTAATGTTTTCAAACTATAAGGGAGTCTTAAAAATAAAGGACAAGAATAATTCTCAAATTAAAACAAGTTTGAAAAAGAAAACCCAAAAAATTAATTCTAACCCTGATAGAAAATGAGCCAAGTTCAGGCAGTTCACAAAAGAAATACAAGTGATCAGTGAAAAACATTTAATACCACTTATAATCAAAGAATTAAACTAATTAAAGCTAATTAAAACCATTATTATTAAAAAGACTGGTAATACCCAGTACTGGCAAAGATATGGGGAAAACAGGCACTCATACACTGCTGGTAGGAATATAACTCTTATAATAGTGTAGTTTTGCAAACAATCCCCACAAAATTTAAAAAAAAGCAAAAACAAAACACAAATACACTCACACAATCACCTTAAACCACTT